TCTCCTCACCGTGACAAATTGACAGCTTCATCCCGCACGCGTAGATCTTGACTTGCATAGGTTTCCCATTTGTTCGGGATCGTAATCTACAAATCTTGGACATCCGCTTCATGCTTTCTATCCATCTGGGCGATCTTTTGACCCTGCAGCCACCAGAGGCCTTCCCAGTGTTACAATCGATTCCCAGGTTAACGATGGAGTTGGAGATGGTCCAAGAAAACTCTCCCATGGCAAGGGGGCTTGATTAAGACCATCCAGGCTGTTGGAGGTATAGTTCAGCTTCTTCATGTGAATTTGGAGATCGAGGGTGCACGCGAACTTCAAGAAGACTCGACCTGCCAAGTCCGCAAGACCATTCAGACAGGTCTCCACCGTGTTTCCTGTCGAATCAATCGCGATACCGTCTTTGTGAAAGGATAGGTTGGCTCCGCCATGCGTGCCCGTGTCGTGAACCGATGGGATCAGATAACCTTTCACCTCGATTGTCGCAGTAGACGAGCCAGCAACAATACCACGATTCGGGTCAAGCTGACTCCATACTATCACCCCGCCCATCAGTAGCCCACGAGGCCACCTGTCAGAGTCGACAGAGGCACGGAGCGCAAACAATGGATAGTCGCATCGAATCCTCTCGTTCATCATGGCGTCATGGCTGATGTGCCCGTAGCACTGCTTGAGGTCTGCAAGCAGAATGCCTACGAACTTGCCCTGGTGTCCTGCAAGGTCTGGTCGTTTCTCCAGCCCTCCATGCAGAATCAGTGGTGCGTATGTGCGGAGCCATGTTACAGTGCTTGGAAGGAGCAGCTACCCTTTCCCATTCACGGCTATGGGGCGCCACACTCTTGGAATCTATTCGGTTGAATCTCTTGAAGAGTCCGATGGGTCTTCTCCAATTTGACTGCTCGCGGAACAGAGCAACCGGTAGTTCCTTCAAAACAGTTGGGCTGTTGCCTTGGCTGCTCATGAGGTTCGGAACACTTGCCATGACACCGAGGTCACCCTCGGGCAACTGCGAGCCATGCTTCGGGTGGCACCCGTAAACTGCCGTCGCCCGCAACTTGAACCCCTGGGAGATTTTCTTGAGTTGCTCCGCCGAAGGCGGCGCTCGCGAACCTGGCCAGCTCGCAGCGCAACTCGTGCCAGGACGCGCCGTGGGATATTCAAACGGTCCTGAAAGGGCCTCCTCTCACAGAAGCCGGAAAGTGTGCTGCGCTAAATCCTGGAAGGTTTTACCCTTGGATCCATGGGTAATGCGGGACCTGGGCTCCTTGATTCTCCTGTCCTGCTGAGGGCCCAAGCGATACATCTCTTTTCACTGGGGAGGGGATTCCGTGGGGTAATCAACAACTCGGAAAGCCTACCCGTTTCAATTTGAACTCGTTACCTTCTTTCTAGTCAAGTGCGGCACTTGAAATCTGTCTTTGAGTTCACCCCAGGTCCTGGCTGTCCACTACGGGTCAACTCTGTCTGGAACGCCTGCAGGATAGGTTTTTCGCCATCTCCTGTGGGCGCTCGAATCCTGTTCCTGAAGGGTGGCGGAAATCCTCGATCAGGCTCTGACAGTCAGCGAAACGATTAGAATAATCAGGCGGGGGTTCAATAGGGCCTATCGGGAACTCCGCGGGGATTATCTGGAATTTGCAGAGTTTTTGGACCCAGATGTCCTCGGTAGCGCTGCTCATGGTCATCGCCGCTGGCTTGTGAGGCAGAATATCAGCATCGTCGTCCACGCGAATATGTTCATCGTCGAACGCCAGCTTCCTACAGACAATGAAATGATATATGATGCTCCTGTTGTCCGCTATGATGCACGTGTGGGCATCTTGCGCGTTGACCTCTCAATGGTATTTATGTCGCCCCATGTGCTCTTGCTGCGTCTTAGGGTTTACGTTGAAGTCACCGCCCGCGACAAAAGGGAACTCCCGAGCTCAATCGATGGGTCCCAAGGGGTCGGGATAGCATCATATTGGCCCTGGCAGGTCCTATAGAGACTCTATAGGACCTGCAATAATAGAGTCCACCCAGTAGTTGGTATACAGACTGGCAATCCCAAATCCCCGCGTCCTCAGGAAAGCAGGCACTAACCTCCCAGGAGCCAGGATGCTAGAGGAGACGGGTGATTGCTAGGAGTCCCGATGCCTACGGATGCCCCCCCCTCCGATGTTTTATTCCCAGAGGTGTCCAAGCATGGCTTCAAAGAGTTGGCCGACCCTTGGAGACTGAGGGTCTGCTGAGCTTCTGGGACCTGAGCCTGTCGGAGCCTGTGCTCCTGAAGGAATTCCACATCGACGGAAGAAGGCATAGAGCTCAAAAACCTGAGTGCCGTGCGCCAAGACGAGGTATTGGCAGTGAGAAAAGTGGAATGGGGGTTGCCCGGTCCGTTTGGCGGGCTGGCCCTTGCCATCGCCCGTTCTGGTTGCCGTTGCCTCACGCGCTGTTGAGGATCTCGACCTGTCATCGGCTGCTGCCGCGCTGGCACTGTCACCCTCTGGTTTTGGCTCTGCACCTCGTCCACGCCGCGAAGGTGGCCGAGGTGGTCCCGCGGCTGCTGGCTGTGCCTCAGCGGCTGCTGCGGCCCCGCCTTTGTCCACGTAGAGCGCTCGGCCCGTTGAGCAGGAGCCACGGCGCTGGCTCGCTGCTGGCACGCCGCCAGTAGTTCGATTGCAGGTACACTGGCCAGATCATGAGGAATGTTCCTGCTCGGGTGGCGCAGCTTTTGCAACTTCATCCCACTTCTCGTCCTCGATGATCTTGGCCTTTGTCTCCTCGATGGCTGCTTGCTCTGCTGTGCAAGGGCCTCCTGCTGTTCGAGATGTTGGCGCGCGTTTTCCACCTTGAGCTGGTAGCACTTGAGCTGCTCCTTGTGCTTCTCGAGTTGCTTCTGATGCTTGATTTTTCTGTCCGCCGCGGCCTGCAATTGGGCGCTGACGGGCTTGGCCGCCGTGCGCACCTCACGCAAGGTCTTGAGCGACGTCTCGAGGGCCTTCTGGGCGGGCTCTCCTCGGTCACCAAGCTTTCGCAGTATGTCGAGCAGCTGCTGGCGGAACTGGATCTGCTGCCCTGAGATGGCAACGGGCTCTGACGGAGCGCTGCCTTGCCCTTCTTTCACCGCCATTGCCCCCCGCCTCCAGGCTGGGCACTTGGCTGGCAGAACTCCGAGTCCAGGCGGGAGGTCTCCTCCCGCGGGTTGCCCTCCATGTCCCCCCGAAGAGGGTCCATTGAATGGTGGCCTCCACGGCGGCGTTTGTCTTTCTTGTTGGACTTTGTGGCTGCCTCCTCGTTCGCATCAATGCTCCTGGTATTGTAGTGCTCGCTTGCAGGACCAGCTGTCGGCTTTTGCAGGGCTCCGTTTCCAAGAAGACCTCGCCATCGCGAAATTGGAAGACTGAAAGAAAACGTGGTGACTGGATGCCTGCAGGCGAATGCAGGGTGTGAGGATACAAAAAGGGGCCCCTTGGTCGCGCCGATCACCTTGAGCCAGAACGGCTTGAGCCAAGGCTACGGACCCCCCCCTTTCCCTTCCTTCCCCTCCCTCCCATGCCCTCTTTTTGTCCCCTCGCCCCGCGATCCCTTGGGGAGGGGAAGGGGGAGATGGAGATGGAGGTGGACGACGAGGAGGATGGGCACCAGGAGGGGCTGAAGAAGATGAGGAGGGAGAGACAGAAAGAGAGAGAGAGAGAGAACGGATGAAAGAAACAAAACACAGAAAACGAGAAAGAAAATGACAACGAGAGAGGAGAGAGAAGAGGATATATATATATAGAGAGAGAGAGAGAACAACAAATGGAGAGAGATAGAAAGAGTGAGCGAGACGGGGGGCGATGGAGAATGCTCGACGAGCGAGCGGTCTCCGCATACTGCTGCTGCCGCTGGGCCGCTCCCTTCGTCCCTCGGCCTTCGCCAAAAGCGAGCCTTCCTGCGCTGCGCGAGCTTCGCTCGTAAGCCTCGGAGAAGAGAGAGAGAGAGAGAACGACGGGAAGGATGAGCAGGGCAGGGGGAAGGGTAAATGCGGAGGAGGATGAGGAGGATGAGGAGGAGCAGGAGGAGACCGGCCAGCCCTACAGACACGCTTTCGAGTGCGTCTCTCTGAGGAAAATCCGTAGGCACACCGAGGACCTGCGTGTCGGCGGTGGTTCCGCCCCGCAGAGCTTCTTAGGACCCGACATGATGAAAACCAATTGTTTCCACTACCATTTCCACTACCACTACTAGCTGCTGCGGCTACTGCTGCTGTTAAGGATGTTGCTGATAATGGTGATGAGGCTGATGGGGATGATGCTGATGATGATGATGATGATGATGATGATGATGATGATGATGCTGATGATGATGATGATGATCATAATTATGATGATGATACTGATGATGCTGATGACGATGATGATGGTAATGGTGGCGATGGTTATGGTCACGGTGATATAGATAGTGTCGGTAATGCGCGTGACGATTAGTTTGATTATCATGTTGGCGACGATGATGTTGTTGATCGTGATGTTGTTGATGCTGTTGCTGCTTATGCTGACGATTATGATGCTGCTGATGGCGATGATGCTAATACTGGTTATGGCGATGAAGCTTGTGATGTTGGTCATCAGGTTGATGATGAGGCTGATGATGACGTTGAATATGATGAGGATGTTGATGATGCTGATGATGTTGTTGTTACTGATGATGATACTAACGACTATGTTGGTACCGCCGATCGTGATGATGATGATGAGTGTGATGGTGGTGATGGTGATGGTGGTGGTGGTGGCTATTATGATGTTGTTGTTCATAATGGTATTGATGATGCTGCTGATGATGATGATGATGATGATGCTGATGCTGATGCTGATGCTGATGCTGATGATGATGATGATGATGATGATGATGATGATGATGATGACGATGCTGGTGATGATCAGGAGGAGGGCGAGGAGAAGGAGGAGGAGGAGCAGGCCGCAGGAGGTGGCGCTGTGGGCGCCCGCCCACTGAGAAGGCCGCGCCCAGCTGCGCAGGACATGCGCAACAAGTTCACCCAGCAGGGCTCCGACGTGCAGGGGGATGACGAGGCGGAGGGCGAGGCCGCGCGCGGGCCGTGCGGCCGTCCGCCCCCGCTCCGCCTTCGATCTGCTCGTCCGTCTCATCCGTCCGCTCCTCCTCCTCCTCCTTCTCCCCCGCCTCCTCCCTCGAGCCTCCCCACCCCCCCTCTCCTCGCTCTCGGCTTCCTCTCCTCCTCCTCCTCCTCCTCCTCCTCCTCCTCCTCCTCCTCAGCCTTCTTCTAGGTTGCTCCGGGTCCTGCTGCAGCTACTAGGTTCATTCTGGGCCGCTCCACATGCCCGTGCCTTTGCCACATAATGACGCGGCCGCCCTAAAGAGCCGCCGCTACGCGCCGATCGTTGTTTCCCCGCCGTCCAATAGGAGGGAAATGAGGTGGATGGCGTGCTGCTGCTGCAGAAAGGTCGAAGAGCATGGAGGGGGAAGTGAGTGGCATATCCGCCGTGCGCTCCAGCGCAAGCGGTGCTCTCGCCGCGATGGTCATCCACCTCCTCCTCCTCCTCCCCAGTATCCTTCCTCTTGTCTGCTCCTCCTCAGCCTTCTCCTTCCTATAGTATCCTCATCAGCCGTCTCCTCCTCCTCCTCACATCCCTCCTCCTCCGCCTCGTCTTCCCCCTCCTCCTCCTCCTCCTCCTCCTTCTCCTCCTCCTCCTCCTCATCATCATCATCATCATCATCATCATCATCATCATCATCATCATTATCATCACCATCGGTTTCCGATTCCCACTCTTCTGTCTCCGCCTTGTCATCCTCTTCCTCCTTCTCCGCTGCATCCTCCTCTTCTGTTTCCTCCTAGCGCTCCGCTCAGCTCGCATTCAGCTCGAGTTAGCGACGCACCGTGCCCGTATTGCTAAGTTTGACCGCCGTGCCCCCGCCTAGTTAATCAGGTCATCCTCTCGGCCTCTGGACGGACCTTCTGTGCTACGAAGCTTTCATGTCCTCCGTCTCATGTTCCGTCTCATCTCCTCCGTCCTCTCCCGCCCTTATCGTCTCATCATGTATGGGATTGCATGTTGTGTATGTATGTTTGTGTGTGGGTGTCTGTGTCTGTGTCTCTGTCTGTGTCTGTGCTGTGCCCGTGTCTGTGTCTGTGTCTGTGTCTGTAGCGGTGTGTGTGTGTGTGCGTGTGTGTGTGTGTGTGTGTGTGTGTGTGTGCGCGTGTGGTTGTGTCAGTGGTTGTCTGTGTCAGTGTCGGCGTGCGTTGGGCGTCACAGATGAGGCTGTGCGGTCCCTTAGGAACCCCTGCACATGCAAGTTGTCTGAGCGCATCCTGACAGGATTGTTGGTCGGGCTCAAGCCAAAGGTCACGAACCAGACTGAAACGTTCGCCACGTCCTCAAGAGAATTTCGGTAAGCTCACTGGCACGTTCCATCCGCAACGTCCCCCCCCCCCCGGCCCTCAACTCCCCGTCGGGGGGGGGAGTGGGAGGAGGAGGAGGAGGAGGAGGACGACGAGGAGGAGGAGGAGGAGGAGGAGGAATATCACGCTTTCGTAGGCCCGCGCAGATGTCCCAGGTCGGCGCAGGAGCCCCCCCCCCCCTGGCGGCGCCTCTCGGCGCCGACCGTGCTAGGACGGGGGCTCCAACGCCGACCCCGAACTCCGCGTTGAAACCCGCGAGCTGATGCCGTGTGCAGCTCCTCCTGCTGCAGTGAGGGGAAGAAGCGGAGGAGGAGGAGGGGGAGGAGGAGGAGGAGGAGGAGGAGGAGGAGGAGGAGGAGGAGGAGGAGGAGAGGGAGAAGAAGGAGGAGGAGACTGACGGTGATGAGGAGAAGGAGGAGACGACGGAGGATACGGAGAAAGTTGATAAGAAAGGAGGTGGATAATAACACGAAGATGGAGAAGCCTAGGAGAGAGCGGGATGGGGGAGGAGGAAAAGGAGTAAGATGTGGCCGAGGAGAAGGAGGACGAGGGGGAGAAGGAGGAAGATGTTGTCCAGGAGGAGGAAGAGGATGAGAAGGATGGGGATCAGGCGAGGGAGAAAACTGATGAGCAGGAGGAGGGGGAGGAGGAATATGAGGAGGAAGATGAGCTGAAGGAGGAGGAGGAGGGAGGAGAACCATGGTAAGCCGAAGAAATTGCAGCGGCGTTGCAATACACCTTCTCGCCCCAAGCCCCCTCACGAGTCTCTGCACTGCGTGCTTCTACTTGCAGCGCCCCCTGAAAGACCCACTCCCACCCGGGATGCTGTTCAGGCATGACCCCCGCTTCGGAGCGCAACCGCCCCGCATCTCCTGCAGCACCCGATCAGATACGCGAAAAGGGGCGATCATGCAGTTCAGCCAGGTGTCCAGCGAGGGCCCCGTATCCGGAAAGGCTTGCCCCCCCCCCCCCCCACCGTGCAGCTGTGGCACACGTGGACACCTCTGGCCGCGACCCTCCGAGGAGGCCCCCCCGGTGCCAGGTCCAGTCTGAGGAGGAGCCGCCCTCCACCCGTGCAACTCTCACGGCCCCTCCACCCCCTCGTCGTCGGGGGTGGAGTAGGACTGAGTAGGAGGAGGAGGAGGAGAAGGAGGAGGAGGAGAAAGCGGTGGTCGACGAGGACCAGATTCGGAGGAGGAGGAGGAGGAGGGCGAGGAGGAGGAAGGCGTTTAGGAGGAGCATGAGGAGGAGGAGGAGGAGGAGGAGGAGGAGGAGGAGGTCGAGGAGGAGAAGCAGGGCGACCAGGAGGACGAGGAGGAGAAGGAAGAAAAGGTGGTCGAGGACGAGGAGGAGGAGGACGAGGAGGAGGAGGAGGAGGAGGAGGAGGAGGTGGTCGAGGAGGAGGGGGCCTGATCAAGTGTTAGGAGGTGCCGCCCTCCACCAGTGCAGCTGCTTCGCGTGTCGATGTCCCTGATCTTTCAATGCGCCCGGCATCGCTCGGACGTGTGCAGCTTCAGGAGGGGACAAAAACACACAGACACAATTAATCGGCGATTCCCCAGAAAATGTGGGAAACTATGGGACGTGGGGGGAAGACAAAAGCCCAACAAATATGGGGAAATATGGAGATTCCTGTTATTTGTGTATTTATTTGTGTGTCCCAGGGCCCCTTCAATCTTGGCTAGTCTTGGGGCCCTTTGGCATCGCTCGGACGTGTGTATTGTTCGAGGCTAGGCCGGCGCCACAGAATCTGGAACACTCGAGAGCGTCTTGGATTGCCATGCGAACTAGAGCACGCGCGAGACCGAGCAGTGCACGTGGGATGGACGTCCTATAGTGATGGCAGGTCTTGATCCCGAGGATCCGATTCGACGACGCTCCAGGAGCCCCAGGGGCCACGCGCCAAGCACCAGGTGATTTGTGAATTTTCAGGAGGGGGAAAACACACACACAGACACAATCTTCATCGTCGATTCCTCCGAACAAATATGGGGCAAGATGGTAAGCGGAGGGGAAGACAAAGACCGAAAAAGTATGGGGAATCCTGTTATTTGTGTCTATTTGTTTGTGTGTCCCAGGGCCCCTTCACATGTGTTCCCGGCGAGGAACATCGAGGAGCATCCTGGATTATCTTGCGGGGCCAAAGAAAACACGCACGACACCGACGCATGCACGGGGAATGGACGTCCGAGCGATGGCAAGACACAAGGAGCATCCAGCAAGAGCCCCATGTTCAAGGAGAACCGCCCTCCGTCCTTGTAGATTTTGCAAGCTGTCGAGACGAATATGCGCCGCGCTAACGCGAGAGCCCCAGATTGAAACAGGAACCGCCACCCATCCTGGTAACGGTTGCAAGTTGTTCCGACGAAAGTGTGCGGCGTTACGTCGAGAGTTCCATTATGAAAACGATTTGCTTATACCATCCTTGTAACGTGTGCAAGTTTTGAAGACGAATGTGCTCGACGCTAAGTCGAGAGTTGATGTTTGAAAACGCCCCCCCCCAGACCGAGCAGCAATCGGAGCCGGCTCCGAGCGATCTCGACGGCGCATCTTCTTCAACGGCCACTTGTTCTTTCCATGGTCTGCGTCTGAGTCCCACCGCCTACCTTTACGCCCAGACATCCGACATGGTTACGTTGTTGTCATAGCGTAGCTCCCCGTAGCTCCCCAGCGCTCTGGTCCTCTTCCGGGGGGCAGCATATTCGTCCTCATGAGCGTTTCTTGACGGTTCTGGGGCCCAGTCAGGGCCCCCCGGAGGCAGAACACAATAACAGTAGTGTTGTTGTTGTTGTTGTTGAACATTATTAATTCTAAAGAATAATTATTGTTGGGACCCCTGGTGCACGGCCCCCCCGCCGCGCCTAGGCCGCAGCTACATTTTCATCATTTTTTCGCGAAAGCTTCAGAAAAGTGGATGGGGTCCAGATCCGGTTGTTTTGTTGTAATCCGTTTTCCCTTGCAAAAAACACTATAAAATGACATTTCTTGTTCTAATATAATCAAATTTCAAGAATCCCTTGCAAAAAATAAGGTAAAGTGGACATTCGCGCGCGCAAGACGAAATCCTTCCAAAAGCTTAGTGTTCGGAGCGATTTTAACATAAAAACATCAAAAAACCAATGGTTTTTCAACAAAAAAATGTCAAAATCTCATCCCGCGCGCTCTTGCGGATTCGTAGGAAACCCAACACTTTTTAAACATTTCTGTCAAACGGGCTTTTGCGAGCAACTTTTTCGAACTTCTGCGACAACGGTTGCGCACCTGCCAGGGCCATCATCCCTGTCAAATAATACCATGCGGGACACATTCGTTTTTTCTTCGCGGCGCACCATCGGGACAACCATCGGGACAATCATCGGGACAGTCATCGGGACAACGATCGGGACAAGCACAACCATCAGGACAACCATCGGGACAATCATCGGGACAACGATCGGGACAACCACAACCATCAGGACAACCATCGGGACAACCATCGAGACAACCATCGGGACAACCATATCCTCTCTCTCTTGTGTATTCCCACATCCCTCAGGAATTTGCCCTAAAGATGTGATCAACTATCTTGTGAGTACGTATCATGTGTATCATGTGTATCATGTACCATATGCATCATATGCAACAGATGTTCTGTGGAAGGCTTAACAACTTCTGTGGGTTAACAAGGCTTAACAACTTCTGTGGGTGTACGAACGTAGGCTTAACAACTTCTGTGGGTGTGTACTCCACGCCAGTGTAGTAGCCACGGTCGTCCGCAGGCCACGAAGTGAAGTGTCCGAACGTCATAGGGCGGGAAGCTGGGTGTGGGTGGTGGCGAAGAGTCGTGTGGATATTTGGTAGAGCTTGCACTGCCCCCCCACAAAGTGGGGGTATTGGCTGGCGTCGCATGAAAACCCTGGCACTGGTGAGAACACTGAGCGTTCGGGTAAAGTGATTGTTGTTGTTGTTGTTGTTGTTGTTGTTGTGGTTGTTGTTGTTGTTGTTGTTGTTCCCAACCATCCTGTGGTGTTGGGTCCTCGCTTTGAAGATACAGCGGCCCGCCTTCTGACCCCTCCCGCTTTTCCCTCCTCCTCCCTCCTCCATCATCATCGTCATCACACGTTTCAGCACACCGCTCATACGATTCGTGGCCCCATAGGGAGATTCATCGAAGGTCCCCTTGGCACCGCCCGCATGCGTCACCAGCACCGATTTCAGCACACCACTCACACGTTTCGTGACCCATAGGGAGCTCCACCGAAGGCCTCAGTGCCACCGCCCGCATGCGTCAACCACACCCATTGTGGCGCCCCATAGAGGAACCACACCGAAGGCCAGCATTCGCATGTGCCCTCCGCACCCATTTGGGCACGCCCCTCACACGTTTCGTGGCCCCACGGGGAGCGCCATCGAAGGCCCAAATGCCAGCGTTCGCGTGCGCCCACCGCACCCATTTTGGCACACCCTTCACTCGTTTCGTGGCCCCACAGAGAGCCCTACCGAAGGCCCGAATGCCAGCGTTCGCATGCGCCCACCGCCCTCATCTTGGCACACCCCTCACACGTTTCGTGGCTCCACAGGGAGCCTTACCGAAGGCCCAGAATGCCAGCGTGTGCATGCGCCCACCGCACCCAGCTCCACCGAAGGCCCCAGAGCCACCGCCCGCATGCGTCACCCGTACCCATTGTGGCACGCCCTTCACACGCTTCATTGCCCCATGGGGAGCCCCACCGAATGCCCAAATACCAGCGTTCGCAAGCGCCCACCGCACCCATTTTGGCACACCCCTCATTCGTTTCGTGGCCCCACAGGGGGCCCCACCGAAGGCCCAAATGCCAGCTTTCGCATGCGCCCACCGCACTTATTCTGGCACGCCGCTCGCACGCTTCGTGTCCCCATAAGGAACCCCACCGAAGGCCCGAAGGCCAGCGTTCGAATGCGCCCACCGCACCCATTTTGGCAAGCCCCTCACACGCTTCGTGGCCCCATAGGGAGCCCCACGGAGGACCCACAGCCTTCGCATGCACCCACCGCATCCAGTTTGACTCACTTTTCACTCGCTTCGTGGCCCCATAGGGGGCCCCACCGAAGGCCCAAATGCCAGCGCTCGCGTGCGCCCACCGCACCCATTTTGGCACGCCGCTCGCACGTTTCATGTCCCCATAAGGAACCCCACCGAAGGCCCGAAGGCCAGCGTTCGCATGCACCCACCGCACCCATTTTGGCAAGCCCCTCACACGTTTCGTGGAGCCCCACCGAAGGCCCAAATGCCAGCGTTCGCAAGCGCCCACCGCCCTCATTGTGGCACGTTCGTGGCCCCACGGGGAGCGCCACCGAAGGCCTGCCAGCGCTCGCGTGCGCCCACCGCACCCATTTTGGCACGCCGCTCGCACGTTTCATGTCCCCATAAGGAACCCCACCGAAGGCCCGAAGGCCAGCGTTCGCATGCACCCACCGCACCCATTTTGGCAAGCCCCTCACACGTTTCGTGGAGCCCCACCGAAGGCCCAAATGCCAGCGTTCGCAAGCGCCCACCGCCCTCATTGTGGCACGTTCGTGGCCCCACGGGGAGCGCCACCGAAGGCCTGCCAGCGTTCGCATGCGCCCACCGCATCCATTTTGGCACGCCCCTCACACGTTTCGTGGCCCCATGGGGAGCCCCACCGAAGGCCCAGATGCCAGCGTTCGCATGCACCCACCACACCCACTTTGGCACGCCCCTCACACGTTGCGTGGCCCCATAGGGAGCCCCACCGAAGGCCCAGATGCCAGCGTTCGCATGCGCCCACCACACCCATTTTGGCAAGCCCCTCAGATGTTTCGTGGCCCCGTGGGGGCCCCACCGAAGGCCCAGAATGCCAGCGTGTGCATGCGCCCACCGCATCCATTTTGGCACGCCCCTCAGATGTTTCGTGGCCCCGTGGGGGCCCCACCGAAGGCCCAGAATGCCAGCGTTCGCATGCACCCACCCCACCCATATGGGCACGCCCCTCACACGTTTCGTGGCCCCACGGGGAGCGCCATCGAAGGCCCAAATGCCAGCGTTCGCATGCACCCACCCCACCCAACTTGGCACACCCTTCACACGTTTGGTAGCCACATAAGGAGCTCCACCGAATGCGGTGCATACAGCGACGGTGCCCACAACTGCAGTTGGTTTGGTCTTTCGCCAGGCTGATTTTCCAGACGCGAGGCTGTCAGGGTTCCCACCGCATTCCGTGCAGGTGGACCGCTCGCAGGGCGCCACCCGGGCGATCAGCAGCTTCATCGACCCCAGCCTCAACTGGGAGGACGGCGGCGGGGGGCTAGGACGAGGATCAATCCGTTCCAGAGCGTTCCCAACGCTCCCAGAGAGTTCTGGAACGTTCTGGGGAGGCCGCGGCGCCCGATGCATCTCCAGAGCCGCTGGATCTCAGAGACTGTCGACTTCTCCTCACCCGAATTTGTCCTCGTCCTGGCTTCGCCTTTGGGACGGCGGCGGGGGGCGTGGGGGGATCGTGGGTCGCCAGCGGCACAACCCGCACCGATCCTGGCTTGCCAGGCCCAGCCTGGGCCTGGGGCCAGCGTGCTGCCAGGACGCTGGAATCATCAGGTGCGGCCAAGAGGGGGTGATGACCAGGGGGGAAGATTACGGCTCGGAAGAGGAAAAGGTACCAATACAGCTGCCTTTGCCTCGTTTTCGCCTTTTTGGGCCTCCTGAGAGGCCCTCGTCGCCACCGCTGGATTCGCCTCGAAATCCTAACCAGAACGCAACCCTGGAGAGGTCCAGGGAGTAGCGGTATCGATACCTTTTGGTTTCCCCAACGGTTAGGACCATGATATTTGTTCGGGTTCTCATTTCGATGCGTCCGTTGGCCCCCCCTTGGGCCGCCGTGGGCCAGAGGCGTCTCTGGCCCAAGATGCCTCCAGGATTCCCATGAGGCACCCACGGCCTCCATAGCACCCCTCACGGGGCCCAAAGCTCCCTAGGTGTTCAAGCATGGTGCGGAAAGCTGGGGACACATTCGGCAACCCCCGAGGCGGGGGGGATGGCGTGGGAGGATCGGGGGTGGCCAACGACACGCTTGCGCCGGCCAGGACCATCCGGGGCCTGGGATCGGGATCTGGCAAATGGCCTGGTCAGCGCTCGTGTCGACCCAGTCCCTTCAAGTGATTGCGGGCAAGGCCTGTATCCATATCCACGGCCTCTCAAACCCGAGACGCAATCAATATTGATAAATGCTTGCCTTTTCTACACGCCAGCATTTTATCCATCTACATTGCGTCTCGGGCTTCTAAGGATGAGAGTCCGAACATCCGAGACGCAAATAAACATAGCCCGCAGTGATACTCCTGGGATCCTGAGATCTGTCTGGATTCGTGGTCGCCTGGGGCGTCAGTTCCACTCTGATTGGTCAGGTCAGTGTTCGGGCGGCCCCAGTGGCACTCAAGCAACTCACTTGCAACCTAGCTCTGGCCTGGCTGTGTTGGCCCTCTATGGAACTGGTGTGCAGTCAACACGCTGACATAAGGAACAGTTCGGGCTCGGAAGGGGCTCGTTGTCCTTCAGGTCGTTCGTGGCTTATTCTCTAGCGCCCCATGTACATCAAGGCGCTCTTGGGGCTAAAGAGGGGCGTCGTTTATTGTCCTTGTGGCAGTAGCTTGACCTCAGGTGCAACTCTGGCGTTGTCCCAGAGGAGAAGGCGAGGAGGACGGGGGAAGGGACAAGGGTCTGCGGCCCCCCGCAGCAACGCTCGGGCAGCTGGTCGTCGGCGGGCCCTCTCAGAGGAAGACCGGGAAGGGGGTCCGAGGATGGGACTTTTAGGGGAGGGGAAGCCGATCTTCCTGGGCCTCGGGAGGCGATAGATTTAGACATCCAATGGCCCTCGGCCCATCCCGTCACCGTGCCTGGGTTGTGGGTCTGATGCTTCTGAAATGGTCGTCGACAGCGCCCGGGTTGTAGCGCCCAGTAGCGCCCAGGAGCGTATGTGAAACCAGGGATCTCGGCCCTTCAGAACCTCACAAACCTTGTACCTCCTAAGGTTGTAGGCGTGTGGGCGCGGGAATCTGCAGTCCAAACCCGCCTTATCGGCGTCGTTGTGCGTCTGGGGCATGGCTGCCTGCTTATGATGATGCGCAGGCATGCCGACGAGAGTTGATGACTTCGAATGGCCAGAGCATTTCGGCGACTCATCCTTGACGTGGCAGTTGTTTCGAGGTTGTTTGCGTGGTGAATCAATCCACCGCCTGGGAAGCTGAACTTCCTGGGCCTCGGGAGGCGACACATACGGATCTGCTCAGGCGGTGTATATGCAGAAGCCCTTGCCTCGTAGGGGCGGTTCTGGGAACAGGGACAGCGGGAAATAGGGGTGGTAGGCTCAGGGGGGACGCATCGACCCCCAATCGCCTACAGTCGACCCTGATTAGTAGGTCGACCCTCCCAAATCAGGAGTACCCTTGTGTCCTGTATCTCGCGACCCATGCCTCCTACGTTCCTGTGGCAACGTGGCCCTTGGAAGGGTATCGTGTCCTCTCGCGCGCCCTGTCCAATCAAGTCCGACAGTACTCATCGCCGACAGGACTCCGATAGCCCCACCTCTCCCGGGAGCGTGCGGCTTCGCCGTCGGGGGCCTGCTGCCGATCCGTCGGCGACGTATCGCCGATCTCCAGCTCGATGCTCCCCCCCCCCTGAGCGGGTCCCCCGGGCGGCTGTCGGGTCCCTCGGACGGCCGCTCGGGAAGATCCGGGAGCCCCCCGAGCGCTCTCGGCTGGGTGCAGCCGCTGTAAGGCATCCCGAGCCAGGAAAGCCGCCGAGAACCGACGGCGACGCCCGAAGATCTGAGACCTCAAGCTTCGAGCGTAACGAACGCCTCCCCCTCAGGGCAGGAGGAAGCAGGGATTCCGCCACTCTCTTCTTGCTGTTGTCCCCCTCGGGCCTCCTCCTGGGCGCCCACCGCCGCTGCGTCCAGGCTCGCCTCGGAGTCCTGGCCCCGAGACGCGCCCCGAGTTGGGAGTCCGGGAACCTTGATAATCGATCGTTGATGTTGCATGCTCGGGTCGAGAAATTTGGAGAGGGTCGATGAGATGGTGGAGCGTCGAGGAAGCACAACGGGGTCTTGAGGAAAACGGGCGCTGGAGTAGAGACAACAGAAAATGACGTCCCTGGGAAAGAGAGGGAGTTCCCCAGGGTTGGCTAGGGATGCTACCCTCGAGGAGCGGCCTGGCCAAGCCTACACGCCCCCCCCTCCTCAGGGCACACTGCGATCCGATCTCGCTCGACTTCGGCTGACCCGCTCCGACTCGATACCGGTACCGATGCGGTCCGATGTTCGCATGGCCTTGTGCGCATCCTGGCGCGGCCCATCCGATCTGATTCCAACTCCGTGCCGATGCGGCCCAGCCCGGCGCACATTCGCACTCCGGTCCGATTTTATGATCCGAGGCTGACTGATCTTTGGAGTCGCGAAACAGTGCGGTGACACACCGTCCGGTGACCTCGAAATCCCCTAAAACCTCACCGCACGGTCCGTCACCGCACGGTTTTAGGACCCTGGAGGCCCCTGTCGCCCGAGACATCCTCGGAGAGGGACTCGAGTCCCAAAACCGTGCGGTGACCCCGAATCCCCACCGACTCACCACACGGTGTGGTGACCACCCCGATTGGGGGCCCCCCATGATTTTGCCCCCTCTTCCCTGGTCCTTGGAACCAAGAGGAGCTCTGGGGAGAGGGGGGGGAAGGCGACACCGAGGCAGGGCGAGCTCAGTTCGCCCCCTCTCCTCCCTGGTCGGGTCAGGCCCCCCTCTTCGCAGCCCACGCTGCCCCTGGATCAGTAATGCACTTCTGACCTCAATTTGTTTGTTTTCGTCACCTCCAGCTTTTCGTCGTTTTCGGCCTCCGGGCGCAGTTGTCGGGCCTTGGGACCTTGAGAAATGGACTCGTGAGGAAGGGTTATCCCAAGGAAGTCTCCCGGACGATTCTTCGATACGACTTGCAGCAGTTACATTATTGAATCGCTTCGCTCATTCCGCCGGCCCATATTACCTCGCCGCTTGGGGAGCGTATTGAGTCCTCTTGGGGGCCTCTGGGAGGCAGTTTTGAGGCCTCTTCGGGGCCGTGTTGGGGCCTCTTGGGGCTTCTTGGGGTGCCTCGTGGGGGCCCCTTGGAGTCTCTTGGGGGCTTCTTGGGCCTCCTGGGGGCCTCTCGGGGCTCAAGGCTGGACTTTTCGGTCCCTGGTCCTCGTCTTGGGCCTCTCTTGTTTCTTGGGGCCGTTTTGGGGCCATCTTGATCTTGCGCCATATTGGGCGCCTCTTGGGCTGTCTTGGCGCCATCTTGGGCCGTCTTGGGGCTTCTTGGGCCGTCTTTGGGCGGTCTTGGGGGCCTCTTGGGCCATCTTGGAGCGTTGGGAAGCCGAAGAGACGAGAAACGTCGCACATGCGGAAAATGCATGTTTTCCGATAGGAAAAAGGTAGATGTTTGCTTGTTGGGGCCCTCTTGGAGAGCCTCTTGAGGCTCTCCTGGGCTTTTTCGCAGCGTCTGCTGCCGTCTGGAGGCTACCTCGGGCGTCTTGGACCGATCGGTCGGCGACTCGGGGCCATCTTGGACCGTCTTGGGGACTCTTGGGGGAGCGCTCTGGGGCGCCTGAAAGCCGCGCCCCGGAGGAAAAACATTTCTGAGTCGGACCAGCCGGGGCACTTTCCGTCCAGGGGTCCCCAGGGGCCGCCATGCGCGCGCGAACTAGACATATCGTTAATCTGTTACCGGAGATCTTAGCACGCCTCTGGCCCGTTGGGCCGGCGAATGTGTTCCGGGGCGTGTAGGAGTCGGGAGACGTCAGCTGACCACCTCACCGATGCTGGCCAGGCCCATCCTGAGCCTTTAGAGAATCGCCATGACGCACAAAGGGGTCCTGAGAAAAACGGGCCCTGGAGTCGAATAGTGAGAGGCAGCTACATAACATCCTTGGCTCTCGGAGCGCTCATGCCAATGAAAGGCAGCGGACCCCTCAGAAGCACCGATCTGCCTTCTTCGAAACCTCCTGTAGGAGGGACCCCTTGCGCACCACCGGGAAGAGGGACGAGGGCGCGCCGATATCGAACGATTTGCGCTATAGTATCACGCGTTGCGATCGCCTGAGGCTGATGAGTCCACGCAGTGTGAGTTACCATCGCCCAAGTCGTTAGGACACGAACTTGTCGCCCTTCGCCAAGGCGCTCGTCGCCTGATGCTCCTACTTCCCCCTCCCGCTGTCCCCCATCCAGCCTCTCCCCATCCTCCTCCTCTTCCTTCTCACTTCCCCTCCCCAGCCGCCCCTCTCATCTCCCCCAAAGTCTTCCTCCTTTCCCCCCCCCCGCCTCCCACTCCTCTCCGGCCTCCATCCAGAGATCCGATGTTTGGTTTTTGTTTCAAAGCGGGGTCCCCGAAAGTCTCGACCCCTCACACAGGGCCGGCCTTTCATCCCAGGCCGTCCTTTGACGGCCTCGGGGCCCCTGCGATGGCCCCCCGGGAGCCGAGACAAAGCGGCAGGTGTCCGCGCCGTCTTCTCGTTGAACGCGCTGGAGGCTTGGTCTTCGGGCCAGGGCTCGGCCCTCCGGCGGCCGTCCGAGACGATGCCGACACTCCCGGAGCGCTCCCGGCGAGGCGCAGGTGCCGGGAGGCATCCCCGCGGCGAGAAGCCGCCCACCACCCACGACGAGACCCACGAGACCTGAAGACCCCGGCTTGGTCAGCGCCATTCCTTCTGTTTGCGGATGTTCCGCGCGTAGCGCATCCGTGCGGTTGCGCATCCGCTGGAACGCGTCCCGGAATCCAGACCGCAAGGGTTTGGGTACGGATGTGGTCGCAGCCGTCATATTTGGGCTAGCGGCAGTGAGTGCTTTGCCAAAGGTGTATCAAAACTATCCGCAACAGTTCGTGTAATCGATCGTGCTGGATGCGGGCAGAGTGCTTTGCATGCGACTGCGTGAGAGAGGCCACGCGCCATGACTCAATGGATGCTCTCTTGAATGTTCTTGCGACCCCACTATGGAAGACCCCCTTTGCCAAGAACCAGCGCCCTGATCCCCCCGCCCCCCTCTCAGAGGCCGGCAACATATGTACACGTACGCGGTTAGCTTCCCCTGGAGGGCGTTTGAACGAGGACGTTCGTGCACTCAAGATCGCGGAGGGCGTACATGTACATATGTCGTTGCTCGCTCACCCTCGTCGTGCTGCAGGACGTGCCCTGGCTGCAGTCCATCACCAAGATGAAGGCCCCGTCTCCTTCCCGCCCAGTTGCCTACCACTCCGGGGCGGCAGGCGCTAGAGGCGGACCCGGTCTCCTCCAGCCCTTGTGTCACAGGTGATTTGGAGGATCGGCTGCAACAGGCTGCAATAGAAAGCGGAGCTCGGAGGAGCAAACGGTACCCATACCTCTATCCCCTCGCCCGTTCTCCCCTTTTTGGGCCTCCTTGGAGGCCCTCGTCGCCAAAGCTGGATTCGCCTCGAAATCATGTTCAAAACGCACCCTGGGAGAGGTCCGGGGGGTAGCGGTATCGGTACCGTTTGGTTTCCCCGACAGCAGGCTCCCTCGAACATGTGAAATTCAAGGTAGTGCGAGGGAGCCCCAAGTCCCCGTGGCCTGCTCGAGGCTCTCCTCCTTGCTGCCTTCAGAGCGGCACCAAAGCATCGCCTCCCTGAGATCCAGCAGCCCGTGCAAAGCAACTCTATACATGTCTAAGGGTTCGGGCACCTCAAGCCCGTAGGAGCCTCCCTCGGTCTCGGGACGTGATCAGGAGGGTCAAGGAAGAGGAGGAAGATAGACGACGGAATGCCCTGACATTCTCGTGTCGTGAAGAAACCACGACGGAAGTGTTTTTGACAATTTTCGGCTTGCGGGGGATCTTACCGGGGGATCTTGCCAGGCGCGTCAAAAGCTAAAACTTGTTCGGAATGAGACAGTTCCCCTCAGAAGAGGTCTAGACCTTTGAGAAGCCACATTGTGAATAAACAGCACGACGTCGGATGTCTTTGTCTGACAAGGAGGAAGGGGAGCAGGAGGATCGGCGAGGAGGGTTGATGGGGAGGGTTAGAAGGCTGCGGGAATGGCGAGGAGAATCGACCAGGAGGAGGGGGGGGATAGAGGAGGAGGAACAGAGGAGGAGGAGCAGTGCAATGAGGAGAAGGGTGGAGGAGGAGGAGGAATTGGAAACAGAGGAGGAGGATAAAGAAGGAGGAAGATCGAGGCGGATGACGGCGGCGATTTGGAGGAGGGGTGACCATGAGGACGATGGAGGAAGGGGAGGAGGGGCATGAGGAAGAGGGGCAGGATGATGGTCGGGGGGAGTAACACAGAGGAATGGTGAAAGGTCAAAGGGGCCGCAGAGCGGGCGGGAAGTCCCGCTCTGGCGTGACGCCAGGCCGCTGGAAAATTCAACGGCTTTACCTTTCGCCACTGCTTGCGCTGGCCACCGACGCTTCCGCATGCTGCCACTCGTCAGGGTCGCCAGGGTCGCCAAGCCCACCATTTATTACATTATCTTCCATCTGTGACAGAGGCCGCGCGCTCAGGCAATCACCATTCTTCTCTCCAGAACGCCTCCATCCAGTCTCCTCCGCCAAAGCAGGTGCACAGGCCTCCTCGTGGCCGTTCGTCGGCAAACTCATCTTCCCCTCCTCTATGCCTGTGTGTCTTCGTTCTTGTGTATCCTAACTCGTGTTGGGGGGTTGGGCCAATTGATGAGGCTAAGCCAAACCCCCCTTCGGAGCCTCGGGAGTGATATGGTCGTTGTCTGCTGTGGCTGGGTTCTCTTGGTTGTGCTCAGGTCGGCCATCCCCTATGACGTCTGGAATGTTGGGTGGCGGGAGTGCGTACCCTCCCCAGGATCATCACGCCGCAGGGGCGGTTGGGGTTTCGGCTCCCTCCTCCGTGGGGGTTTCGGCTCCGGTTGGGGCTGCGGTGTCAGTCGTAGATCCTAGGGGGCAGACGGCGACTCGTTTGGTCAACGCGCGTCGGTGTTGGTGCCGCATGTGGCTGGTGTTGAGGAAGCGGTTTCTGTGGATGGCCTTGCGTTTCTGTCAGGTACAAAGCGGTTTTCGAAACGTGCTTTCAGGATCCGGGCACAGAAGCGGATCAAGAAAAAGAGCGCTTCCAGTGCCAAGCGGTGTTGTGTCATGCCGAAAGTTGCTGTGCCTCGGCGGGGCGGCCGTCGCCGAAAATACACACGGAATGGTTTTACAGGGGTGGCACTTGGAACGCACGGAGGTTGGAAACAGAGCGGGGCAACAGGAATTCGCATTGCTCAACGAATCAAGGTTGGCGTGGTCCTGTCACTGTTCAACGAAAGGAACTGAGAATTTGTCGTGTTTCCTGATGTACAACTCGCACGTAATGGGGTGAGGGTGTATGAGGGGGGGGGGGGGAGAAGTGGTCGTTGCTCACAAAGGGGAAAATGTGTCGTCTTGGGAACAGTTGAGCTGAGGATTGGAGGGGCTCGGGGTCGAAGGTTGTCGTGCGGGGCAGGCAAAGGAGAGCGGGCATTCGAGCGATTGGTTTTGTGATTCCCCGGGGGAGGGCGGTGCAGAGGCATATCTCTGCTGCGCGCTACGCCTCGGCCTCGGGGGCGAATCCGAGCGCCGTCGCTGCCAGGGATCGATTTCATGATGAGCTGCGTTTCGTCGGGTCCCATGTCCGGGGCGCGAATCAGTTGGCGATAGTCGGCGGCGGCTTCAGCGCGGAATGCGGCCAGCCTCAGGGGGCGAGGGGCGTGGAAAAATGCCAGTGAGGAAAGCAGGGCCGCCGCGTTAGTGGCGCGGCGGATGGCGCGGCGGGAACGTCGCCAGACTTCGAAGTTGCTGGACAACGCGAGCTGGCGAACCATTGGGGACAGGCTTCCGCCGCGCCCTGGGGCGGGGGCCAGGGCGAGCCTTACAGGCTGTTCCGCGACCACCGGCTTCGGCGCGGGGACGCGTGCGACTCCAGTCGTTGCAGCGCGGGTGACTTCTGAGGGGGGCTGGAGAAGCGGTATCGGCGCATTGTTGCCATTTTTAGGGACGTGAGCATGCGTGGCAGCACGTGCCACGAACGGCTGCGGTTGCGGCGTGGCTCGCCGCAGACCCAGAGCAGACGGCCTGCGTCATAAAATTCAACTTGGGCGTCAACCAGAAAAGGACGTATGGTGGCGACGCCCTGCGGACGCGGGTGGTGAAGCGTGAACGTATGGTGACGAAGCCCTGCGGACGCGGGTGGTTGATGTTGCGCGGGAAGTGCGGGGCCGCGCGCCCAGAGCAGATGCAGGCGGCAAGGCCGAGGATTTTCCCGATAAATGGAAAGTGGGCTCGGTGGTGCCGCTATGCAAAGGAAACCGCGCAGATAAAAAAAAAAAAGAAACAACAAAAAAAAATGGCGCGGCATCGCACACTGTTATCGGCGGGTTCCAGAGTGGCAGGTCGAGTCGCGGCCTCCCAGCTCGCTCAGTGGTTTGAGGGTTTTCTGGCAAAGGAACAGTATGATTCCAGGTGGAGCCGGGGCGCTGATGACGCCCTGCAGGTAGCGCGGCGCATTGTTCGGGCTCCTGCTCTGACCGACGGAAACGCGGTTGTCCCTTCGTTCTATGAAAGCGGAAAGGCTTATCCACGAGCGTGCAGGCTGGCCCTGTGGCGTTTGTCAGAACGGAGAGAACGCCCCCGGGCGTTTTCCTGGGCGCGCAAGGCGCTCCACGAACACACAGGCTACAAAGTGTGGGTTGTACGCACAGGCCCGTCGTCTCAGTGGTGCCCTCTCCGCGGGCTCCATTCATGAGGGGTGCCCGCCCAGCCCACCCCCTGTCTAACGTGTATCATGACGCTGTCCTTCTCGTAGTGCTCGAACTACTTGATCGCCGCAATCCAGCGCGCTCGGCCGAGCGAACGTAGTCGTCAAGGCGATGGTCTGGCCCGCGCGCAGTTCGAGTCCACGGTTGTGAAGTTTTGTGTCCAGGTCGACGATCTCACGCCAGGCGTTTGTGGAACTCGTGGCCAATATTCGGTCGTCATCAGCAAGTCGCAGGTTCGCGGCGGATTCTCTGGGTCATCGACCAAAACTCCATGTTAGTATCACACGCGCCTGGCATTTAGTTGCCCCCCTGCGCCGTTTGAGAGCTCGACATAGTTACTGTAGAACTGCCATGGCGGGAATCGCGTTATTGGATCGCTCGGCTTGACGCCGTGGGGAATGGCAAAGGCGCGGCTTCTTTCGCTTGCTACGAGCGTGGCACCCTGTTTGGCGCGTCGCCGCTTCTGCGACGTCGGATTTGTTCCGTCGGCGATGAGGCAGAGTTTGCTGCGCCAGCGATCGTGCTAAGCGGGGGCACTGAGAAGCGAATTGGCCAGCGCGCGAGAGCGGGGGGGGGGCCGGCGAAGCGGCCGCGGACGGGGGGGCGGGGAAGGCCATTCAGGGGTGGAAAAGTTCCCAGCGGGCTGGCGCTGCCGCCCAGCAGCGGGATCCACGGCAGCAGCCGGGCCGCGGCGCCAGGGCGCCAGCGGGCTATGACGGGGCCCAGTGAGCGGGAAGCAAGTGCTGCAGTGACGTTGCCGATGAAGTAGGCGAAGCATTTGAACGACTGAAAGAGGGCCGCACGGCCGCCCAGGCGGGCGGCGCCTGACACGGCGCGGCAAGTTCGCGAGCAGTCTAGGTGTGGAATGCAATCAGCCAGCTGTTGGGCCCGAGGAGGCGGGCGAGCGGCAAGACCGAGCCTGGGTGCCCATCCGCGCGGGGGGGCTGCAAGCTGCGGCGGCGTCGCGAACGCCGCGGTGGCGCGCGGGGCGAGGGGGGGGGGCGAACGGCGAAACGGGGAAAATGGGACAGGGAGGAAGAGGAGGGGCGCTTCACCTGAGGGGAAGCCCCAGCAGGCGGGGCGCCAGGGCCAGGCGGCCCAGCACCAACGCTGCAACTGCCTGCCTGTGCTAGTGAGCACGAGGGTGACGGCGCATGGCGGACGAAGCAACGGAGGAACGCGGCGTCGTGCCGGCTGGGGTCGCGGGCGCCACCGCCACGCAGAGCGCAGAACCTGTGCCAGGCCGCCCCAGGTTCACCACCTATCTGCTGCATCCTCCTAACACGGGCCACCGAGGACCCATTCGAGCTGAGGATATCGAGCAGGGCGCGTGTTAAGACATCTTCAGGGCGCGCCCGCCCCTTGCACTGCTTCCTCTAGCCAGAGGTGAACGAGTCCCATCGGGCGCGAGTGTCTGACAACGCTTTCCAGGTGATTTTGACGAGCAGCAGGAGCTCGCGCCGTTCAGGCAGAGGCGCTCCCGCTCGCGAGCTGGCGCCAGAACTGCCCGCGCTGCCAGTGCGGCTTGCGTGCTCACGCACGCAGGTTGCACGCAGTGCTCAGTTAATGGTCAGTACCAAACGTTTGCAACATCTGCCATTCCCATCCGCAGTGTAAACTGGAGCTCGTTGCGGCAGAGCGGTAGATCGCAGGTGGTCCGACGGCCAGGGTGTTGTAGTTGTTTTAGCACGACGTTTGTTCCAATCAGTATCCTTCAATGATGAAGTCGCGAAGCCGAGCGCGCAACATCTGGCTGAACAATGTCGGGCGGACGGGCACGCGAGGGCAAGATGCGTTGGGGGGGTCGAGGATTGCAAGGAAGTGGCTCCGAAAGAGCCCTTAATTCGCAGCAGGCTGCCACCGCGGGCCCACGCGGTTAAGATATAGCCCGCGTTTCTGGACCCCGCGCAAATTGCACCCCTCACGAACGTTCGGAATTTGTTGAACGTGGCTAAGATTGCAATCGGACGGAGGCTCGACGGAAGGATCGCGTCGCCGTTGTTCTGCGATGGAGTGGTGCACGCATTCGGCCATCCCGCCAGCAGTTGTTGTTCCTGGGTGAGGATTACATGGGCTGCGTGCAAGATCCAATTCCGCTGGAGTCGGCCATCGGTGTTCCGCCTGCCTGTTCGGGCCCCATCGTCGCCCCGAACCGCTGCCTGTTATCATTTCCCGGATCGGGTCTGCGAGCTCGTCGAGAGAAATTCTACGAGGATAAGGAGGGGGAGGACCGAGTGGAGGAGGATCGACGACGATAGAGGACGAGGATGAGGAGGGTGGATGGAGGGGGGGAGAGAAGGAGGGGGGGAGGAGGACGTGTCCCAGCCCCCTGCACCCAGACGTCATGATGTTTCACAACGTGGCATGCAAGAGGTCAGGACACCTTCCACAGGAGTGGTTTTTCTTTCCTGGTCGTTTGTTTGGCGGCCTTGGTGTCCGGTGAGGGCCCGTTAGAGACCACGGGCGCAGAAAAGAACGGCCCCTTCGCGATAGTTGCTTCACCGCGAGGGGGTCTGCGTTATCTTTTCCCGACCGCTGCCTTTTCGCCTCCCCTTTTTACCCCCCGGCCGCGAAAAGGGCGGCCAGGGCAGCTAGGCGCGAGCCCACTGTCGGGGGCCAAAAGCTTGACACTGATGCCAGTATGGGCGGTTGCCTTCGGCGATGGTGGCCATTATCGGGTTTCCCGGGTGGCCGAGAGATTACCGCCAGCATTCAAGTCCAGGGTCATTTTCACCTCCCCTTGCGTTGGTCGGGCGATGCGTATTCGGAGGGGGGGGGGGGGGGCGATGACGACGGGGCGAAAAAACGCGCACCCACGGGGCCCTGAATAGGGCCCCCTCTGGGACCCAAGCGGCTCACGGAAGGTGCACGTCTTTTCGCCCTCCGTTGATCGCTGCCCCCCCTACTAGGAGGAGTCGGTTTGCAGGGGGGGGCGGGCGCGGGGGGGGCGCCAACGACCGCGCCGATTCCATCGCGGCCCGCTGCCCCTTCCCGGGGCTCTCAGGAATCCTCCGGGCCCAGTTGGCCTCGCAGTCGGCGCTGGCGTCGCGTCGCCCGCGAGCGCCAGCCAGCGGGCGGGCCGACCTTGTTGCGCATGTTTGGCACGAGAGACCCGCTCGGGCCTCGCGCTGTGCCCGCGCCCCAGGGCGACGGCCCAGGCCCTTGTAGCCTCCCGCGCTGGCGCGATGGCCTCGCGCGCGGCGCAGGAGCGGGCGCCGCCGACCGTTCGGTTCGGTCCCGCGCACTTCTCATGCGAGAACGCAAAGCCCCCCTTGCTGCTCGCGCGCTTTGCGCGCTGAGCAATGCGATGCAATTGCGACGGCCGCGCGTTCAATTGGAAACCGCAGCGCAAGTTTCCATTCCCGCGCGCGGGGCGGGGCATGAACTTACAGATGCGCCGACGGTCGAGAACTCGCGCGCGCGCCCGCGCCTGCCATGTTGGGCGTGCGCACTGGGCCCGGAAGTCTGTGGCTCGGCCGCCCGATGCGCCCCAAAAATCGCTCCGCCTCCCCCCCCCGCCCCCCTCCCCTTCAAAACTCTTCCGCGCTCCTGGAAAAACCGCGCCGCCGAGGCGGGGGCTCGGGCCGCGGCCTGATGGTCCCCGGGGCACAGGGGAATCAAAGGAATCAGTACGGAATCAGTACAGAATCAAAACAGAATCGGCACAACTGCGACCCCTGATTCTAGCGGAATCAAAAGAATCAGTACGGAATCAATACGGAATCAAAGGAGGAATCGGCGATGGAACCAGAATCGGCCAGAACGGGGAAGTAGGCCAGAATCGGTGCCAGAACCCATGGAGAGAGGACTTTTTCCCGCGAGTTCATTGCGGCGGGTCCGCGGCGCGGGCGCGCCGCGCGACTTCGCTGGTTCGGCGAGGCGCGCAGTCGGCGTTCAGAGTGAACAGGTTGTTTTCAGGGCGATATCCTGGCGGCGCGATGGCGAATTGCGCATTTGCGTATTCCTGGCGGGCTGTTTGAGGGCGACCCGGCAGCGTCGGCCGAATGGCCCGCAAATACCGCGCGGCCGATCGCGCGCCCCACGCGGCCACGTCGACCGCCGTGTGCCGCGACGGCCGCGCGCCCCAGACCGCGCCATTGCCGCGTTGGATTGGACGGCGCAGCGCCCGTCCTCCAAAAGTCGTTACATGCATATCGCGCGTGTCGAGCCAGCAGCAATCGCTCCCAGAAGTAGCCTTGACAGGCGCCCCATGCCCGTTGTCGCCCGGTTCCGATCCAAATCATAGTTTCTTAGGATGCGCTTGCGCGAATGTGAGCACGCGTGCAAGTAACGCGCGCGCGCATGGCGCTGCCGGGGAAATCCAACATGGAGCCCCCCAGGGGCGCGGGGCGCCGGCGACGCCTCCGCCCGCCTCCCGCGCGCCCAACCCCCTCCGCAAGCCGACTCCTCCTACTTCCTACTGCCGAGTGTGTTTTATCTTGTGGTTCGCCAGCCTGCCCCCCCCACCTCTCTATGCGATCAGTCTGACTTCATCCTACTCTTCCTCCTCCCTTTCCACTTCTCTACTCGCCTTCTCCCCGTTTCGTCCTCCTTCCACTCTCCTTTTCCTTCCCACCTTCCAGCACTCGGCTCCCCGGGGGCCGGCCCCTAGTCGCTCAGGCCGCCCTCGGGCGGGTGGTAATTGGAAGTGACCTGAGCAGGGGGCGAAGAACGGGGCCCACAAGGGGCTGACGACCCTGAGATCCAACGTGGCGAACACTCACAGCATCGTGCGAGATCACGCCCAGAGCCCTAGACCCTCCCCCAATGCTTTGGTGTTTTCAATGCGGGGTCCCATGGGCGGTGGTACAATGGGGGGGTGACCCACAGGGGGGTGAAGAAGTCGGCCCTGAAGGGCCCTGTAGGACCTCTTCTGGAGGCAGCAGGGGCCAAAAAAGAGCCCAAAACCGTCCCTTCCGGGCTCTTTCCTTCACCCCCCATGCACGTCACCCTCCCATTGCCACCCGCCCGCGTTTTTTGAGGTCTGGACAATTTCCTGGGGGCAGGCACACGTCCAAGATAGTTTTTCGACGGTCCCGGGGCGGGGCCCAGGGCTCCCCGAGCCGCTCCCCCCCCCCCCAAGGATCATCCATCGCCCTGCGGGGAGGGGGGGTCCAGGGGCGATCGTTCCCGGGTTTCGCGTCGCTCGCGGCCCCGGTGCCCTTGAGAGTTGCCCCTCGCCTCTCGAAGGGGGAGGCGGCCGAGCGCAGATTGTTGCGTCACGGGGAGCCTTGAGACTGGGTCCATGCAAACGGGGGTCTTCCAGAAAGCGCCGGATCTTCCAGCATCCGACCCGGGCCAGCGCGAAGGATCCTGCAGGATTTGGAGCATCTCGCAAAGCCGGACTGACCTGGGCTTGGGTTGAACCGGGGCAGTAGATCCCCGATTTTGCCCCCCCCCTTGTACAGCGAGGCTCGCATCCCTTGTCCCGTCTCCCAGATCCCGCCCCCCCCCGATTCGTCAGCGTTCGCCGCGAGGGGGTCCCGGGGCGAGGGTGCCCTTGTATGTTCTGTGCGTGTTGGCCGGCTGAGGGTACCCTCGGATGTTCTGTGTGTGTGTGTTATTGAAGGATTTCTTCTGGCTTAGGTCCGACTGTACAAAGCGCCCTCCCTCTTCGATCGTCGAGCGCCGCGCAGGGGTGGCGGGCCCGCTGTCGATACCCCCCTCGCTTCCTCGGCGCTGCTGCCAGGTGCTCCTCAAGGGCGTGCAGTGCGGCGAGGATGCAGTGCAGGCGTACAAGGCCTGTGCGGCGGCCGAACCCGCGGCGGCCGCTGCGGGCGCGCCCCAAGCGGCCCAAGCGACGACGACGACGACGACGACGACGACGACGACGACGACGACGACGACGACGACGACGACGACGACGACGACGACGACGACGGACAACGACGGACGACGACGACGACGACGACGACGACGACGACGGCGACGACGGACGACGACGGAGACCGACGACGACGACGACGACGCGACGACGACGAACGACGACAACGACGACGACGACACCGACGCGACGACGACGATCGATGACGACGCCACCGACGACACAGACGACACCGACGACACCGACGACTTCGACGACACCGACGAACGACCACCGACGACCGACAACTGACGACCACGACGACGAACGACGACGACGACACCGACGACGACGGCGGCGGTGGCGGCGGCAGCAGCGGCGACGACGACTACTATGTGTTCGGCCTCTGGGGGACATCGCCAGTCCCTGGGGCCGTCAAACAATTTTTTCGGGATGAGAAACCGGCTCAGGATGGCGCGGCGATGTATCAGCACACCAGCCCATATTCTTTTACTGCCGAGGCCATCACTTTGGAAAAAGCCGTGGACTTGATTTGAGGGCTTCCCAGAACGTGGTCAACATGTTGACTTTCTCGGAACTTCAAGGCGGCATTAACAGGCTAGTGCCATCACGCGTCATGTCTCCGGGACGACGCTGGTCCTGAGGAAAGGGTTCAGACCTTTGGGGAGCAACGCTGTGCCAGAAAGAATACGTCGGGTGTTGAGGGGTTCCCGAGCTCTCCATGGAGCATGTTTTTTCCCCGGGGCGATGACGGCCTTTAGGGGGGAAGGGGGCCGGTGACGTCGCGTTTCGCGCCGGCGTCGTTTGGGAATGTTTAGGAATGATCGAGGACGGGTAGCAGCAGCATGTAGGTTGCGATCTGCACCACAGCGCCTGTGTACACCACAGTGCCTACGTGCACCACATCGCGCGTGTACACAACAGCACTTATGTACACCACAGCAGCCGCGTGCAACACAGCGCCAATGTGCACCACAGCGCCTGCGTGCACCACAGCGCTTGTGTACACCTCAGCACCTGCGTACCCCACATCAGCCGTGTGCAACACAGCACCAGTGTACACCACAGTGCCTGCGTGCACCACAGCGCCTGTGTACACCACAGCGCCTGTGTGCACCACAGCAGCCGCGTCCAACAAAACACCACAGTTGCACTGCTGTATGTGCAGTTCATGAGGGGTCCTTTGGACAACTGCAGCGCTTACGGATTCAACAGGAAACATGTGTTTTATATAAGATTTGGAAAGGAGTCCTTTATGGAAAAAGGAGTGCTTCTGGAATCTACGAGTCCTCCCGTGTCCTCCCACATCATCCTAATTTCTCCCATTTGCTTCCAGAAGGCTCCCGCAGAATTGACCGTCCGAAAACTAAGTGGACTGATTCAACAAACCATTTTTCCAGGATGTCCGGGATGTGCACAAATGCGCACGTGCGTTGTAGCGCCGACCCGCATGACGGGGGGAAGGGCGAGGAAGGAATAGGAAGAGAAGGAGGAGGGAGGAGCGAATGTCATCTAACTCCATTATCAGCACTGCTCTTGCGTGATGTTTAGTCTTTCGCAGCATATCCTCACATACATGTTCCTTTGACCTTTCTTGTGTACGTAGGAATTGTGGTGTACACCAGCGCCATGTTGCGCGGGGGCGCAATGGTGTACACAGGCGCTGCGATGTGCACGGGCGCTGCGGTGCACGCAGGCACTGTGGTGTACACAGGCGTTATGTTGCAGACGGCTGCTTCGGAGCACACATTTGTTGTGGTGTGCACAGGCGCTGTGGTGCACGCAGGCACTGTGTACACGGCTGTTGCGCTGCACGCGGCTGTTGCGGCGTACACAGGCGCTGTGGTGTACAGTGTACACGCGCGCTGTGGTGCACGCGAGGACTCTGGTGTACACAGGCGCTGTTGTGCCTATCGCCACCTACATGCTGCTCCTACTTGGCTTCGGTCATCCCTAGGCATTCCAGGACACCGCCGGCGCGGAACGTGACGTAATTGGGGGGGGGGAGGCGCGGGGCCGGTGACGGCCGTTATCGCGCACATACATATATATGTGTGTGTGTATATATATACATAGATAATAGGACTATGAGATCGCTCATGAGGAGCCGGTCGGAAAACTGGGCGAGGGCTGGCAAATCCGCGGCTGCTAAGACGGTCTTCCCGGGGGAAAAAAAAAACCAGAATAAAAAGCGCGCTGAAGAGTAAACGGGCTGTTCCCCGGAAGAAACAACACTTTCCCGGAGCTCCGTTTTAGCAGCCACGGGTTTGCCAGCCTTCGCCTGGCTTTTGGGGTCGGGCCGCTCAGAAACAAAGAGAGGCACAGCACCCAGGGGAGGCTATGGGGTCGCACCCCGACGTCCCCCTCATCGTGTCTCCCCGAGTTGAGCAACAATTCTGGTGTCCTGTCGGATACCCAACAACATGTGATATTCGGGTCGCCCTAACTCCCGATTTGCCTTTGTGCCACCGCGCAGGGCAGCAGGGTGCACTTGGATTCCTCTGATTCGTTCTGATACGATTTCGATGGTTCTCGATTCCGATACGATCCGACTTTGGATTCGGATCTGGATTTCGATTTCTCAACGGGAGCCTGCCAGCCTGCCGATTTCCGCTGATTCGGCTTCTCCCGAGTCTGCAGCCGATTTCCGCCGATCCGATTCAAGCCGAACGCCGATCCGACCAGTCGATTCGATTCTAGGCTCTCCTGGAGCAGGCAGGGGTCCTGTGGGAAATTGCGTTCTGGACGTTTTCGCAGGTTTTCGGTGGTTGTGGGAGGGTTCCTCTTCGCAGGAGGCTTGCAAGCAGCTGCACCTCGCCGAAAGAATCTCGGGGGCGCCCGCGAATCGTTTCGGGCAGCCGCTGGAGGCCAGGCCTCCAGCGCATTGTGAAAATCATCGCGGATGTGCTTCTCATTTTGCTGCTGTGGGGGGCCCTCGCCGGACCCCCAGGGCCTTGAAAAAACGGATCGGGATGAATCGCTGGTTTTGGGGAGAGGGCCAGGACTTCTTGGACCTCAAAATGAAAAGAAAAACAGTACATCGGAGTTTGGGGGATTGGGGGTGTGCGACATTTGCTGCATGCAGCTGGTTTTGGTCCCGTTTCCGGGCGCTTTCTTCTACTATCCCCCACTGTCCGGGTGTTGCCAGAGATGCCCTGGCCCAGAGTGCCCCCAGTATCTCCATGCAGGCCCACGCGGCCTCCGTAGCACCCCTCACAAGGCCAGGAGGGCCCTGGGGGCTCCAAGATGGTGCGAAAAGTTGGGGACACCTTGGGCCAGGGACACCTCTTAGGGGCAACGTTAGAAGGGGTAGGCTCAAGGGGGGACGCATCGATCCCCAATCGCCCACTCATCGCCGATAGGGGCCCGCTGGCCAATCCCGCCCTGGAGCGTTCCGCTTCGCTATTGCCGGGGGCCTGTCGCCGATCTATCGGCGGTGTGTCGCCGATTTCAGGTCAGGGCTCCCCCCCCCTGATTCGGTATCACCCGAACGTTCCGCCTCTCTGGTGCGGGGGGGGGGGCGCCGCGCTGGGCAGGCCTAGGAAGAAGGCAAGTTGTTCCATAACGTTCTGGACCGCTCTCAGAGCGTTCCAGAGCGCTCTGGAACGGCCTCGGCGCTCGATGTATCTTCCAGACCCGCCACCTCAAGATATTCCCGATCTCTCCTGGTCTAATGTTACCTTGGTCCTGTCGTCGTCTTAGTATGACATCCTGCTGCGTGTAGCTGGTTTTGCTCTTCCTCAGAACTAGAGACATGCTTGTATCTTCTGGTGTAAAGGGCGTGACCTCTGGTGGGGGAGGGGGGTGGGTAGGGTGCCGGTAACGTCACGCTTCGCGCCAGCGCCGTTTGGGGATGCATAATTATGAATGGCTACCCCCCCCGGATAATAAAGTATACCCCCCTTAGCTCCTGACGATGGAGCCACGTAACGTGTGAGAGGTGTGCCAAATTGGGGCGGCTGCGCCATGCGAGCTGCGCCAATGGAACCTTAGTTGGAGCATCCTGTGGGGCCACAAAACGTGTGAGGGGCGTGCCGAAATGGAGCGGCGGCGCCATGCGATCTGCGCCATTGGGACATTCGGTGGAGCTCCCTACGGGGCAACGAAACGTGTGAGGGGTGTGCCAAAATGGGGCGGCGGCGCCATACGAACTGCGCCATTGGGACATTCGGTGGAGCTCCTTATGGGGCCACGAAACGTGTGCGGGGTGTGCCAAAGTTGGGCGGCGGCGCCATGCGATCTGCGCCACTGGGACCTTAGTTGGAGCTCCTTATGGGGCCACGAAACGTGTGAGGGGTGTGCCAAAGTTGGGCGGCGGCGCCATGCGAACTGCAGCACTGGGGCCATAGGTGGAGCTCCCTATGGGGCCACGAAACGTGTGAGGGGTGTGCCAAAATGGGGCGGCGGCGCCATGCGAACTGCGCCACTGGGACCTTCGGTGGAGCTCCTTATGTTGGCCGCGAAACGTGTGAGGGGTGTAGAGGAGGGAGGAGGAGGAGGAGTAGGAGGAGGAGGAGGAAGGATGAGGAAGGAGGAAGGAAGAAGGAGGAAGGAGGAGAACGCGGGGCACCGTCTTTTCAAAACGAGGATCCAACACTGCAGGATGGTTGGGAAATATAGGAACATATGGGGAATCCCATTATTTGTTGTGGGTACTTATTTGTGTGTCCCAGGGTCCCTTCACAGAAGGCCTCTGGCCTTGTGAGAAGCGTGTTAAGATTTGTCTAAGCCTTCTCCGAGTCCCCGCTGCCTTTTGAGAAAGGCGGCCCCATCTCTCTCGCCCCCTCGGCGCGGGCGGGGCCCAACTCAGGAGGGGAAAAAAACACAGACACAATGAATCGTCGATTCCCCCGAAAATATTGGAAAATATGGGAAGTGGGGGGGAAGACAAAGACCCAGAAACTATGTGGACATATGGGGGATCCTGTTGTTTGTGCCTATTTATTTGTGTGTCTCAGGGCTCCTTCACCAACTCCGCTCAGAAGCGGCCCCTGGACCCTCCCCTCGGGGGCCCGGACTTCTCAGCCTGAAGGAGTCGACAGGTCGGGCGCTGCCAGAAGGGCCCCTGGCCGAAGGTGCCCGCAGGATTTCCGAGGAGGCCCCCACGGCCTGCAGAGCACCCTCGTGGGGCCCAGAGGGCGCCAGGGGCTCCAAGAAGCTGGGCGGGGCACCCGGGGGCCAGGGGCACCCTTGGCCTCAAGTCGGCCATGTCCAGCTGCAGGGTGAATATTCAAAAAGTTAGTCCAAAAATACTCCGGGGACGATTTTTCAATTATCTTCGACTACTTCTGAACATTTTGGGGCCTATCTGTTGTTTTTCGTCCACAGGCTGCCTGTAGGAGGACATGCCCGACCCAACTTCAGCCCCCCCGAGCAGGGGCCGCCGACGTGGCACCCAAGCCGCACAGACGCAAACATGTCAGGGAGCTCCGCGCGGCTCGCAGGGCTGCCCGAGGTCATGGAGGCGCCCGCGGCCGTCGCCGGCCATGACGATCGGAGAACACTCAGAGCGGCGTAGGCACAACTTGTCGGTGCTCCGCGCCGACCCAGGAGGTCCGCGCAGAGCTCGGAAGGTGCATGTTCGGGCAGATGTCTGTCCTTCCTCAGCTGCTGGCCCCAGGGGAGGGAGTCAGGGGCAACGACAGGGGGGGGGGATAGGCATACAGGGGGGATGCATCGACCGCCGTTCGCCAATTCATCGCCGATAGGGGCCCGATAGCCCAACCCCGCACAGGAACGTGAGTTTTCGCCATCGGGGGCCTGTCGCCGATCTATCAGCGATGTATCGCCGATACCAGGTCGATGTTTCCCCCCATACGCCAGTCCCCCGCTATCGTGGCCCCCCAAGGGAGCGAGAGAATGAGAGAGAGAGAGAGGAAAAAAAAAAAACGAACGCACAGATGTATCCAACAGTGCCGAAATTGGGCTCCCCATGAACTCCACCCAGGGCGCAGCCTCGCTGAGAAAGCGCGTCGAGCCCTGAGCCGTCGCGGTTCTCGGGCTTCTTTCGCCCTTTCCTCTACTGCCATGTCACAGGGACCCAGACAGTTCGCGGCTCTAGAGGCTCCGAACCCTTCCCTGGGGATGGTGTTGCATCCCGGATCAGTTTTTGATGGTCCCCACGGGCCACAGAAGCTGAAACTGAGGAGCAACCGCCAGACGGAAAAAAACAGATCCTCGGATCTCTGGGTTCCTCGACTGTCCAGGCAGGGAGGGGAGTGCCTCGCCGGGAGCCCCCGCGAGCGCCCCAGGCCGGCCTCGCCGGGTGCGTGCTCTCGAACCACGGCGGCAGGCAGCCCCCGCCTCGCGGCCCGCGCGCGCGCGCGGCTGCCCGGCCGAATGTGGCAGCTTGCGTGGCGCCCCAGCGGTTGCTGCGAACGCGAGTCGCCGCGGGGATCTTGCCAGGGGGGCCCTTCGACTGCCACCAAGCGACGCGCAGCAGTGGAACTGCTGCAGGTGAGGTCTCGCCCGAGGCAGTTTTGCCCTACGTCTTGCCTTGGCCACGACATGTGTGGCAGCCTTTTTGTTCTTGATGGTTCGCTGCCGTGGCCGGGCCATCTGTTGCACTTGTACGCTTCTGCTGCGCCGCCTGGGCTGGCCGAGTGTGGCTGCTTGCGCGGCACTTGAGGCGTCGCCACGCGTTCCCCTTGCAAGTAAGTTCACTGAACCGTAGACAGCGAAGCAAGCCCTGCAGAGCACAGCCAGCGAGAATGTGAAAACAAGTGCGGAACATGTTGTGCAGAATCCTTGTGAGGAGCGCATCTACATATGTAGGAATTGTGTAGGACATTTGAAACAGTTGATCTTGTGCGTGCCCGCACGTGGCTGGCGCGTCCTTCTCGCAGACTGTTCGAAGATGTCGCGAGCGAAACGCGAGGAGTCGCTTCGGGTCGCCCAGGCGAATATCTGACAGGAGGGTTTGTTGAAGACGTCTCAGGCGGCTCGCTTGTTTTCATGTGTCCTGGTCGCATAGGCGGATGTCTAACATTCCCCAATCAGTGTTTGCACTGAAGGGGTCCTAGCGGAAGTTGAAAGATTTGGCGAAAGTTTCCCGCCGAGTTTGGTAGCCGGTTGGGTTCCCGGGTTCCCGGTTCCGGGTTCCAGGGTTCCCGGTTCCAGGGTTCCCGGTTATTGGTTCTGCGCCGATTTCGGTGGGTTTTGGGTTCCCGGGTTCCTGGTCGATTCCTCAGCGAAAACCATCCACTGATTAGGGCTTATCTCTGGTGTAGTGAGTACTCATTGAGGGCATCTCGAGCGACGCACTTGTTTTCAGGTGTCCAGGGGGTCCAGGTCGCCCAGGCGGATGCCGAACGTGAGGGCGTCGCGTTCTTCGCACGTGGAGATGCATGCGCGGGGGTGGTGGTGGTATCTAACATGCGTTTGGCGGGTGGTTTCACGTGTCCAGGCCACCTGGCGGGTTATCACATGCGGTCGTCGGGTTTCCACACGTCAAAATGCGTGCTCCGGCGGGGTACCTGACATTCGCCTGGCGTTTGTACCTGTGGCACCTGTTTTCACGCCTCCAGGCTGCACGAGATCTCGAAGGTAGCCGCGCAGCGCACAAGCAGGCGGCGCGCCATGCCCTCGGGCCCAAGCCGCGCCGTCGGAGCTGCGCCGGCCTGGAGGGTGGCGAGCCCGGACCTCCGACGCCGGCCGTGGGCCTCGCGCAGGGCGAAGAGATGTGTGCATGTGCGCAGCCTTCGGCCGCGCCCGCCGTGGGCCCCGAGGAGGAGGAATGGGAATAGGAAGAGGAGGAGGAAGAGGAGGAGGAGGAAGAGGAGGAAGAGGAGGAGGAAGAGGAGGAGGAGGAGGAGGAGGAGGAGGAGGAGGAGGAAGAGGCGGAGGATCGGAACGCAGATGCCTCCCTGGCCAAGCCGCGAGGGTGTCCACACCGATCCTGGGCCCAGGGCGGGCCTGGCCAGGGGCGGCGTGTGCAAGATGGATTTCGTCCCTCCTCCTCCTCCTCCGTAGCCATTTTGGCTCAAGCGGGCAGCTCTCCGCTGAGGTCAATATGGGTGTCGTGCCCAGGCGGACACCTGTTCACTTTCTTGCACGGGGGAGGGCTCCCCGACGGGCCCCAGTTTCGCCATGGCCGAGGTTAGCCAGCTCTTAGCCACATTCCAGGCCAGTACGAACGAGAAGATGACTGAGCTAGCCAGCGCAGTGACGAAAGGCCTGGCAGACCAGCAGTCGCAGATCGCAGGACTCGCTGACAACGTGAGCAAGCTCTCCGAAATTGTGGCCGCCCAGCAGATAGAGATTTTGGAGCTGCGGGCCAAGCAAGCACAGCCAGCGTCGTACGTGGCCGCCGCAACATCTATTTCATCAGGGGCGGGCACTGCGAGTGGGGCGACATCGCACAAACATCGCAGAGTTGGTGGGGGCCCAGATGATGAAGACGCCAATCGGAAGAAACGCTGGATGGGGAAATCCCCGCGGAGCCTCACCGAAAAACAGCGCCGAAAACACTACGAGCAGGTAGTAGAGCCCAAGCTGCCGCAGCACATTCGTGACGCCATGACCATCACCTTCTCGCGCGTCGGGAAAAGCTACAGTTTCACCTTCTCCAATGACCTTCAGGCCAAGGAGTTCAACAACCTCCTACGCGATCGCGACCTGTCGTGGACCGATCCTCCGGACGGCAGGACGCACAAATTTTACCCTCGCGGGGACATGCCGACCGACGTGCGGCAGCGGCAGCGGGCGGCCAGCAAACTATACGAGGGCATCATGGCGCTGTTAAGGAAAGGCGGAAAGGACTTGACGGGTTTCCGTTTAGGAATGAAAGGGTACCAGGGCCTGATGCACTTCACTTCGAGCGACGAGGTTTACAACATGGTGATCATCACGGGGGGTGAGAAATTCGGATTCACCTTCTCGCCGGTGCTCGAGAGTTTCGCCGCATTTAACGTGAGCGAGAAGAGCATCACCGACCTGATAGACTCGCTTTCACTGTGACAAACAACACAGGAGGCGCCTGCGGATGAGTCAAGTGAGCCACGTTTCCGTTCTGTTTCTGTCGCCAGCACCCCATCTGCACAGGGAGCCCCTAGTAGAGCCTACAGGGGCTCCACCTCCAATCCCTTCCTTCCACTACATGGGCCTCTACGTCTGGTGTCTTGGAACTCGCGCACGCTGTCCGGATCGGTCTGGACGCCTCGGCAGAATATTCGTGGGACTCACAAAGCTATTCTGAGGTCGGCCAACAGTTTTGACACTATCCTTATACAGGAATCTCATGGGCATCTAGGGGGCGTAGAACAATTACAGAAATTGGAAACTGAGTGGAAGATGTGGGGTTCTTTCTCCGACCGAACCCCTGCTGGAGGGGTGGTGACGATGGTGCACGAACGGCTCGATCGACATTTCGATTCACATGAATTTGACGAGCTGGTTGACCAGGCAGGGGGGCCTGCTGATCCAGGCCGTCTTTCTCGTAAAGTTTTTACGGGCGACGTGGGCGCGCCCCGCATCTTGAATCTCCATCTCGACCCCTCCCACTCCCACGCCAAGGCGAAGGACGTACTCAACATCATCTCCTCCCACATCCCCCCTTCGCACCTGGCCGCGACATTCCTTGCAGGCGACTTGAATTGTGCTGCCGTTGGAGAGGGCCGAGTGCGGCTCGCCGATTCGTTTCAGGAGATGGGCTCCGACGTCTCGGGGAGGCACTTCGAACTCGCTTCCCGCTTCTCGCCGAAATTGAGCAACCTCGATACACGCATCAGCGCATCAGTCGTGTCGAGCAGACGCGCAGGGGGTGGCCTCAGTCTCTTGGGCGCAACGATCGCATCTACATATCAACCCCTACTTGTGACCTCTTGGATTGCAGTCCTGTCTCTGGAACGTACTGGGATGTTCTCCAACCTGGCAGCTGCCGTGATCACGCCCCTGTTCTTGTTGCGCTGTGCCCCGCGCAGGGGCTGCCATCCCGCGGCGGGCCGCGCGTTCCGTTGAGATTGGGGGGGGGGGGGGGGGGCGCGATTTCCCGAGGGGCCTTGTGGAAGCCGTGAAACTTACCAAGGGCCTCGTGCACGTTGCAGCCAAAAGGACCCATGCGATCACGGAGAAACGGAGCCCGAGGAGCACTCCCGAGCAGGCGGCCTGGAGTCTTGCTCTCGCGCGAAGGCGCCGTCGTGCTCAGGAGGCCGTCGTGCAAAGAGCCTGCCGCGCTTCTCCTCTACTCACCGAGTTTCACGACACCCAGCTTGGCCGTTGGTGCGACATCCCCGGGTTCAACCAGTTCCCCAGCCGGCCGATGCGCGCCCAGTTTGGCGATCAGGAGAGGGAGGCGGTGAGCGAGGGGGGATCTCGGAGGCAAGGAGGGGCCATCAGCTGGCACGGGCGCGTATTCGCGAGCTTGCGGCTGCATGGGCGCCAAGTCGTCGCCGGATGCTTCTTCGGCGCATTCGACAGGAGGACGGTGGCGCACTAGTCGGCCCTGAAGAGCGCGCTCGAGCGCTTGCTGACCACTGGGGGGGGGGGGGGGGGGGGGGGGGGGGGGGGGGGGGGGCGTTGGGAAGCCGCGGCCCTCGGCGCCTGGGTGCTTTCATGAGCTCGATGCTTTCATCAAGCCTGTTGCCGATACAACGATTTGGAATCTTTTCAGGGGCCTGTTCTATCACCTTGTTTGGGGGAAACATGATTCGGCTCCTGGGGTCGACGGTATTCCTTATAGTGCGTGGAAGAGCGGGGGCGAAGGCGTCTTGGGGATCTTGCTTCAGCTTTATTTGTTTATCTTGGGCGGTGGGGATGCTGGCGACTATTTTAATTGCGCGTTGGCGGTTCGCTTGCCCACCGGCGACGACGAACGGGGCGACGACTACGGACGAGATAGGACTCCAGGGGAAACCCGACCATTCGCGTTGTCACACACAGATAACAAGCTGATGCCTTGTGCGATTGCTGCCCCTGTTGCCCACTCGGCCAGCATCACGGTTGACCGAATGCAAATGATGGGCCGCACCATCTCGATAGTGTCGTGGACTGTCCTGTGGAACCAGAAACGTGCCGGCGCGGCGATCTTCGAGATCGAAGCAGCATTTCCTTCCCTCGCCCACAGCTCCATGTTCTACTGCCTCGAGAAGATGGGGCTCCCGTAGGGGATCCTGCACGCCACGCGCCCGCTCTATAGGCATGTCCGCGCCCGCATTAACTTTCGGGGCTGCACGCGTATATACTTCGAGATCTTCCGAGGGATAAAGCAAGGGTGCCCACTCAGCGGGGTGCTTTACGTTCTAGTGGTTGACCCGATGCTGCGTTATTTGGCCCGCCGAATGCCAGCGTCCCCGAGTAGCTCACTGCGTGGGTTTGCGGATGACCTGGCCCATATGTCTGCGTATCTATTCGACGCTCTTCCTCGGCTGGTTCGGGACTTGATGCATCTTGCTGTCATGACTGGGTTGCTAGTTCAATCCCGAGAAAAAAACCTACATGGTGTTCCCTAGTGGGCTTTGTTTTGATTGGATTCGGGCTGAATTCCAACGGCGGGGGCTTCGGGTTCGCAAATTCAAACTTGTTCGGAATGCTCGGCATCTTGGGATTATGTTGGGCCTTGGGGCCACGGGGGAGCGCCGGGGAGGACCCGTGCACGGCCTCGAAAAGAGGGCGCGGCAAATCCGCTCCATGGCGCTCTCGCTCTCCATCAACATCCTCGCCTAGAACACTTTCGCCTTCCCCGTTCTTAATGTTGTCTCGCAGGTTCGGCCCCTAATTCCTGTTGCGCTCGAGGCTCAGCGAGTGGCGACACCATTTTTGACGGCTTGACCATTTACTGCGTTTCCTCCTGCCTTGACGCATCAGCTCACCGACGTGTGGCGCGGCAGGCAGCGCAGCAACGTTGAGATATGGGGGGGGGGGGGGGGGGGCGCAGCATGCAGGGCGGCCAAACGTTGTTTTGCCTTTCTGCATTGGAGGGGGGAGTTAGAGGAGGTTTTCGACGGCGACAATTACATTACGACGTGAGGGCACCACCCATTAGACACATCATCGGTATTCAAATATATCATGGAAGCCGTTCGGAATGTCGAGTGCCCCCCGCGGGCCCCAAGGAACCAAGCGCTCACAACCTGAAGGCCCCTGCGCGGCAGGCCCTCCTCGCCGCGGACCCGCCCGCATCTGCGGGCGACCTGATCGCCCCGAGGTTCGCCATGTGGAACAGCGGGATCACCGATGCCCAGGTGTTTTTGTCGCTCATCCGCTTGAGGGTCATAGGTCCGTACTTGCCTCTATTTGTCCTCGCGGCGGTTATGAAAACGCGGCGCAATGCGTGGAACACCTCTCGCAGGTATCGAGCGGGGATTCAGGCACGTCTTGGAGGGCGCATGAGGATGGGAGGGGATGCGCTGGAACACTACCTTCAATGTCCTCTTCTCCTGTATGCTACGAGGGCCTCTCTCCTTCTTTTGCCTGGCTCATGGGGCAGGGGCGATTTTCCTGAGCAGTTTTTTTGCGTTTCCCGATTATTATTCCAGGGCCGAACTTTGCAGCGTTGGGCTTGCAATTGTAATCCTGTGTCGTGTAGTTAACTCGCTTCGTGTTGGAAAAGTGTGCAATCTCACAATCAAGCACATGGCGGAGGCCCGCGCAAGGAGTTTGCATCGTTTGTCCAGTAATTGAGGGCGCTTGTTGAGGGGTGAATCCGTTCAAGACGTATAGCAGCGTCAGCATGCGATTTGTTTTTATCCAGGAGCGGCTCAATTTTGGACGTGCTGTAAGTCACCCTGATGACTTTCGGCGCTCATTCTGGGATCCCTAGGGACGCGTGTTCTCACCGCCACTGCACATAAGGCTTGGTATTTGCATTGCAGGCAGGCTGCAAGTTTGCGCCCCATGTCCCAGGCTGCTGAATGTTGGTCAAGGCCAGGTGTTTTCTTTCCCCTTCGCTTCGTGTCCGCCTGCCCTCGTCTCTTTTCCCTTGCTCGCGCCGTGCCCGCTTGCCCCCCTCTTTACTGAGTGTGACTCCTCCTCCTCCTCCTTCTCCTCCTCCTCCTCCTCCTCCTCCTCCTCCTCCTCTTTCCCTCGTTTTCGATGTCCGACTGCGCGAATGGTGAGGGGTTCCTCGCATTGACAAGTGACCAAAATGGGGAGGCAGGACGCTGGATGTGCCGCGAAAGCGCGCCTGCCCTGCCCCTCCCCCTCCCCTTTCGCCCCTCTCCGCATCCCCGGGGTCACTAACACTAAGCCCGCATAGTGAGGATGGGCAATTTTCCCAAGGGTACCCCTTGCATCCTTGCCTCATCGGTCCATCTTCCGCCGCTTTCGCTGGCCGCGCCCCGCTCAAGAAGCTTCGATATGGGCGTCCAAGGCTCATGCGTCCTTATCGCGCAGCTTTACTGTACTGGTTGACTGTGTTCCGATTCGTCGGCCGGGGCCAGGTGGAGCCAGGTGCGGCAATCCGATTTCGGTTCGATCCGGGAACATTTTCGGGCGACCTGATTCGATCCGACCTCGCGGGATCATCATATTCAGGCATGCCTTCCCCAGGACTGGCGTTTCATCCCGAGCTGGTTGTGGAAGGTCCCGGGGCCCAGCGACGGCCCCCAGAGACCGACCTCGGCCCCAAGCAGTTCAGTTTGTCCAGTGTTTGTCAGCACGCTGGAGATCTGTGCAAGAGGGCAAGGGGGCAGTCTGAGGAGAACCGTCGGTGCATTGAAAATCGCGGGCGCTCCGCGCGTCGAGAGGGGCGGCGGCGGCGGCTCTGACGGCAAGCCGCGCCGGATTCGGGCCGTCGTCGCCGTAGTCATCTTTCTCTTCGCCGTCCTCGTCCTCTTCGTCTTCCTCGTCGTCGCCGTCGTCCTCGCCGACGTGGTCGCCGCCCTCGCCGTCGTCGTCCTCGTCAGCATTGCCGTCGGCTTCGCAAGCCTCGCAGCCCTCGTCCTCACCGCCGTGGCCCTCGGCAACGTTCCGTCGCGGGCTTCTCCGCGCTGTCCGACCGGCGGGCGCTCGACCATACGTGCGCGCGCGCTGCGTGTCAGGCAGTTGGACACCTGCCGCTCGGGGATCGAGGTACTGCCCGAGGTCATGGAGGCGCCCGCGGCCGTCGTCGGCCATGCTGATCGAATTCGGAAAAGCGGCACAAACATGCGGATTTCCTGCATCGGCGCTGGACCCCCTGGCGTCGCCCCTGGCGCGCCCATCCGAGCAATCCGCACGGAGAGCCGAAAGTTTATGTTTATGCGGTTTCTGTGTTCTTCTGGATGAAGGAACAAAGGGTCCTGGGGGAAGCTGAGGGGCACCATTCGATGGGCATAGGCTCAGGGGGTGAACGGTTCTGGTTCGAGGTCCCAGGTTTTCGGACGCGTTCGTCGGCTCTCTGCTGTTCTCCAGCCTCGGGGTTTTCTCCAGCGGCTGCGCCTGGCCGAGGGAGGCGAGGAGGTGCCCAGACCGTCCCGAACGGCCGCCGCCGAGCCGAGGTGTGTGCCGAAGGAGGCAGCCTGCGGGGGGAGGGGTAGACTCAAAGGGGGCTGCATCGGCCCCCGATCGCCGACTGACCGCAGATAGGGGCTTTGATAGCACGACCCGCGCAGGATCGTGTGGATTCGCTACCGGGGGCCCACAGTCGGGCCGTTGCAGAAGGAACCCTGTTCGTTGGGGAGGGGCTCAGTGATCTTCAATTGTTCTACAGCTTATGTTAGGTTTTCCTTAGGCTCTCTATGGGAAATCGAGGCTTAACTTCTGGATAAAAGGGGCCTCGCTCCTTCTTTAGGGCTCCTCTTCTGACAGCGTTTCGACTGTACCGCCGATCTATCGTCGACGTATCGGCGATTCCAGGTCTTCCTTCCCCCCCCCTGAGACAGTCGCACCCTGACTTTGCCCCTGAAGCAGTAGGTCCTGAGGAGAGCGGGTCCTGAAGGTTTCCGCAGGTGTCCGTCGGCAGCTTCGTTGGCATCTCGTCGTCACGACTGGGTTCCCCTCGACATGTCGGTCAGGATGTGCCCCAGGATGGGGCAGGGGAGGGTGGAGCCTCCTCCACGTCGAGGGCTCTGGGGTCGGAAGTTCACGATGTGTCGTTTGTTCCTAGAGGTTCTCTCACCGTTGATTCTTGGAGGTTCTCTCCGCCCAGGATACTTGCCAGCAACTGCGCATCGCCGAGGGCATTCTCGGGGCGATCTGGCTCGACCCGAGCGGCCGCCAAAGGGCAGGGCTGTGGCATGAGAGCCGGCCTTCCAGCGTGCTGAGCAGATCAGCACGGAGGCTCTTCGCCTCCGTCGGCCTCTGCAGTCCTTGGACGTGCCTCAGGGAACGAATTCTTATGGGGAAAGAGTTGCGATCTTCCAGGGAGAAGGAGTCGGATGAGTAGGAGGAGTAAAAGTGTAAACCCATGGCGCACCTACGATGTTGGAATGAACCCTCCCTCCAGGTTCCCTCTTCACAGGCCCCCTACAAGGATTCATTCCCACTGAGGGAGGTGCCCCGTTCCCCGTCGGGAGTCAACCGTTTGAAGATCCTGAAGCGTGCCAAAACACCATCATCGTGACTTCAGCGCCACGGGTCAACCTGACTGTTGCGTCTTGACGATCCTGAATCGCGCTGGACCACCGTTCTTGGGACTTCAGCACCGCGAATCAACGTAAGTGCTGCGCCCTGACAGCCCTGAATCGTTCCAACACACCACTTGTGGTACGTGAGCCATGAGAATCTGCGGTGAGCCTTCAAATTTTGTAAACGAATGTGCGCGGCGCTATGGCGAGAGCCACATTGTTAAGGGCAACCGCCCTCAATCCGTGAAACTCTTGCACATGTTGAAACGAATGTGCGCGGCGCTGGGGTGAGAGCCACATTTTGAAACGGACCCACCCTCGATTCGTAAACTACTCAGGATTAGGAGGATGGTTAATCCTCTTATTCCTCCTCATCCTTCTGCTTCTTCTTCTTCTACTCGTCGTCATCCTCTGTCAATCCTCCTCCACCCTGATCGGACGCAACCGCTTTCGATCAAGCTCGGATCGTTTGCGTCGTCGACCGCCTCTCCGTTTGCTCCGCCTTGTTCGCCTCTCCCCCCCTGCACGCCCCGCGGCCGCGATGTCCAATTTGCTGAGGCGGGCGACACAGGCGCCCGCCCGTCCTGCCTGGGCGTCTGCTGGGCGGCGCCGCTGCCCGTTGTCGTGGGGGTCTACACGACGCTGCTGGGCGGCGCCGCTGCATGGTCGCGGCGGGCCCGTGCGTGTCCGCTTTGCACCCACTTTGGCTTCTTGGGGTGCTGCGCCTGGGGCCGCGACGCCGCCTGCCGCGCCCTGCGGATGCCGCTCGCCCGCTGGGCAGCCGTGTTGGGTTTGGGGTCAGCGCGCATGGCGGCGCCTACGCTGCGCCCGCAGCCTCTGCCCGCTGTCGGGCCCAACCATCCCTCCGCTGTACTGGAAGCGCGATGCTCCGCCCGAGCGGTGGGCGGCGGGCGAGTTGGTGTTCGACGTGAACCCGCGGACGACATGTGTGCACCGTACCGCGTTGGCGTCTCCCGAGGCATCGTCGATCCTCGGCCCAGGAATTGTACGGTGCATAGTTTTTGTTCAGCGTCTTGACGCCGAACTGCTGCGCACCGTACCGCGTTGCAGCGGGGCCTGAAGAGAGTTCAAGTATTGTACGGGGCGTGGGTCCCGTTCTCGTAGGGAAGGGGCGCGGCGTGCTGGGTGCTCCGCTGGCGCAGTGGCCGTGCGATGCGGCCGCGCAGGGTACCGCGGGGGCGTGCGGCGCGCGCTTCGGCCCTCGTGTTGGTCACGGGCTCGCCGAGCCCATGCTGATCCTTGGGCTTCTCAGCCCCACATCGCAGGGGCAGGGACAAAACAATCATTATCATCCTCAGGATGGATGGGTGGTAGCATCCGATCAGGGACACCGATACCGACAGAGCCAGCGCCACGAGGAGGACGGGGAGACGTGGAGGGGGGGAAGGAGGAGCTTGCATTGAACAGCTCAGTGCGTCGGGTCTCTGGAACCCGCGTCCATCGATGTCTCTCCTCCCTCCGTCTCTCCCTCCTCTTCCCTCCCTCCTCCCCCAGGGGCCGAGGGAGGCTGCGCCACTGCACCCGGGGCTGGACGTCGTCGCCCCCGCCCCGCCCCCCGTCGGCTCCCAGGCCCTGCAGGCGGCGGGCTACAAGAAGGAGGACCCGTGGCACTCCCGCCAGGCAGGGGAGGAGAGGCACGGAAGGCGAAGGGATGGGGGGGCGGGAGGAAACGGACAGACGAAGGGGTAAGTCGGGTCTGTCCTTCTACAGGAGGAATATTCAAAAATAGTAAAAGGATAGTCTGGGAACGATCATTTATACTATGTTTGAGTATTTTGGGAGTATGGTTTGACTATGTGTTACTTGTCGTCCAAAATCCCCCTGTGGTGTTCGAGGTTCGGGTCGGACGAAGGGGTGGGAGTAGGAACGGGGTAAAGGTTATGAGATCTGCGGCATGCAGCTGACTTCGGCCCTGCCGCTGGGTGCTGTCCTCGATACGCCTGGAGGCGCCAGAAGAGCCAGCTACGTGGACTGATCCCCTCCCCCCCGTCCTTCCGTCCGCCCCGAGAGGTCAGAGCCTGAGGTTTTCTAACGTTTTCTTTGGTTCTCGGCGATTCCCTGGCCCGGGATGCTCTCCAGCAGATGCTCTTCGCCGAGAGTGTTCCCAGGTTGCCCGGATTCTCCCGAGCGCTTCAGAGGCACGAGGTATGATACGAACGCCAGAAGACGAGGTATTCGAGTAGGAGGATAAGGAGGAGGAGGAGGAGGAGAGTGCACCATTGCAAAATTAGATGACGTTATCTCTTGATTTGCGCGATGAGAATTGTCTCACGATGTGCATTCCGAGCCAGTATTGGGTAAGCAGCGCTCGGGGAAGATACGGTCATGCGCCAGCGTTGGCGCATTCCGAACCAAAATGTATTACAGCATGGCACGCAACTACATGATACAAGTTGCGCTGCAGGCTCTAAGATGGGATCTTCGTGGGTCGGGGGGTGCATGCATCGGCCAAAAGGCGAGATATGAGACTGCAAGACAAAACCTCCCAACCCAAGACAGGACAGAAAACGACAGCATGCGACGCGGGCAGCGCTGGCCAGGACTACACACTCCTGCTGGGGGCGGCCACGGAGACGGAAATAAACACATCGGAAATCAGCCTCAGACCAGTGGCATGCCCTCGAGGCCATTATCAGCCTGGCGGCCTGGTGGGCCATCTGTGGTACAGTCAACTCTGTCTCGCGCCACCTGGAAGCACGGGACACAATTTAAGCACGAAGAGCCTTCTAGGAGAAAGCTCAAGCAGGTGGGTCGAATTCTGTTTGGATGCACACCCACGGCGCCCGTATTCGAATCGATGGTTAGGTCCAGCCATTTTAGCACGCGCGATTCACAAGCAATCTCGAACTGTACATAATACAGCGTCTGCATAAGAATAACGCAACCAGTCCTTGCAATGGAGCCGCGATGGCAGAATCGCGTCGTCAACGTACCAGATGGTAGCCGCGGCCCTATTCCAACTTACGCCTCGTGGGATGAAGCGCTCGTGGACCAATAATTGTTTTGCGCCTCTGTCCATTCTGTTTCAGCTAGTTAGCCCCAACCACTTGTGCAGGCGTTGCGGGATCGTTGTGGTTCGAGTTGGCTGCAAGGTCGAGTTCGCTAGTTTCAGTGGCATCGGCGTCAGCTCCCACGACGGGTTGTTCGAGACATAGTTTTACAAATTCGCTGCAAACGAAGCCCAAGGGACAAGCCGCGCTGAACGTTTGTTCTTGCCATCGAAGCACACGTGCACATCAGCCGACGGGTGCACGTCCCGAACGTGCCTCCTGTATTGCTTGTCTGACTGCCTCCACGCCACAATCTGCCTGTTTAGCGCGAGATCCGCAAGGACGCGAGCTGCAGGCTAGGAGTGAGCTAATTAGCTCAGGGACCGCACCTCGGCCACACCACTGCCGAGCGAATCTGGAGATGGCGTTCGGAGCATCCGAATCCATTGACTCCAGGATTGGCCTAAGCAGGATGTCCCTCCTTAGTCGCGCAAGTTGCATACATTTGAATTGCAAGGCATACCTTCTAGACCTTGGTTTGGGCCGTGTTCTCCATATCAGCCAATTCAATATCTTTGGACGCTCGGGAATAATTTACAACATCCAGAAACGCCTGCGTACGATTTGCTTGGAACCGAGGTTCGAGGTGTTTGGACGAGTTCGTCGATTCTCGGCAGTTTTCCAGCTTCGGGCTGCTTTTCAGCAACTGCGCCTCGCTGAGGGCGCTCTGGGTGTGCCCAGACCGTCCCGAGCAGCCGCTGGACAGCCGAGCTATGACCCCCACTCCAGAGGCAACATGGGGGTCTTTGGCCAGGGGGAAGCGTTTCGGCCCCCAATCGCCCATTGATCGCCGATCGGGCTTGATAGCCCATCCCGCCCAGGAGCGTGCGGATTCGCTATCGCTACCGGCGATGTATCGCCGATCCCAGGTCGATGTTCCCCCTTCAGAACTGACCACCCCCATCGTTGCCGCTCAAACTAGCGGTCGGACGAAAAAGCGAGCAAGCGGGAGCAGACACCAACAAATGACCACTTCGGCAACGCACGTGGGGATTTTTTCTAAAGACCGTTCGGCCACCCCTTTCTTTGATTAGGCGATGAATGACGTACGAGTCATGTGAGTGATGCGCAACAGGCAATTTACAAACTTAGGATGTGTCATGCGAAGTTATAGAAGAGTAGAAGAGTTCAAGCAGAGGTCAGAGTCACGTCCTTGTGGGGTTCGGCGCCAGGCCGGCGTAAACGTACCTGGTTCAATTTGCTTGTCACCCTGGGTGTCTAGGCTAGCAGTCACGCTCGCGGTGGTACAATCTGGGTTCACGCTCTCCTCCTCCTCCTCTTCTTCCTCCTCCTCCTCCTCCTTCTCTTCCCCTTCCAAAAAAAAACATACGAGTCCAGGGTTTCTTTCCCTCAGGACTTCACCGTCTTCATCGACGGCGGCATCCGGCGGGGCGCGGACATCTTCAAGGCGCTGCGCACACGGGGCCTCAGATTCTGAGAGTTCTCACCGCCCCCCTCTGCTTTTTAACACATCCCCATGTCCGCACTCGGCCCCCCCTCCCTGGGATCCCTACTGCTAGAACGAGATGGAAAAGGTCACCAAGTTCCCCACAGCAGATGCTCATCGTTTCTGCATGGGCATCGTCCTAATGGTTCGTCGGGGCAGCGTCGACCCCTCCCTGAGATCTGGGCCGCGCACGTGCTTCGGGTGATGAGTTCCTCCTCTTGGACGTCCCCGAGTTCGGGAGCGCCCGCGGGTTCAACATAAGATCATCAGCGGAGCAAGAGCCCACAGCCTTTGTGGAAATCCATCACCGAAGGCATGCACTAATGGATTCTCAGAAGGGGCTATGGGGTTCACACCTAGACATCCGACAGTATGATTGTTCGATGCGCGGCCCCAGGAGGTTCCGAATCCTTCCCCAGGAGTAGTCTCTTCTCCCAAACTAACTTTTGATGGCCCCAGGGCCCATTGGCCGAGATCAAGAAAACGCGCCATGATTGAAACAGAGACTTGCCGTGTTGGATTTGAGAGAGCAGTTCGTCGGAGGTCTGGCCAACACGCCCGAAATGGGAGTACGGAACAATAGTACGATGCCATACCGCAAATGTTGCCCAAAACCGACAGCGGCCCCTGTGGGGCAGGCGAGTCTTTGTTGTTGGGTCCATGGGTGCAACGCCCGCGGCGACGCCGATAGCGAGCCTCGTGCAACACGTGCAGGAGCTGCTGTCGGTCTTCGTCCCCATCCTTTCCGTACCAATTCCGATCGCACCGATTTGGGTCGGTCTCCCCAGACCCCCGACGTCATGTTCTCCTGTTCACAGCGCAGGCCCCCCGAGGTCGCGCCCCATCCCCCCAGGCCGGTTTCTCATCCCGAGCCGCTTTCTGACGACTTTGGGGGCCTTGCGAGGGCCCGCCGAGGGTGGACACGACGAAGCACCCTTCGCCGCGACTTTGGCCACGATGCCGGCATGCCCTGATCCCGACCGTCCAGGGAGAACGCGTCGACCTCGATCGCCCATTCATCGCCGATTGGTGCCCGACAGCCCACCCCGCCCAGGACCTTGCGGGTGCGCCATCGGGGCCGCATCGTCCATCGGTAGGCGATAGGTACCGCCGATCCCGGCTCGATGTGTCGCCCCTCTCTCAGCGCCGTGTGTGTTTTGTCTCAAGAGGCGAGACCTTCCGATCACGCCTTAAGCGGCGTGGGCAGCAAACCTTTTCAGACGTCGCGCGATGCTGGTGGTGATGCTGGGCGTCGGTGGTCGGGCCTCCCACGTGGTTGTATGCCCGTGGCTGTTTTGCATGGCGCCCAATCCCAGCTTGCTGCTGCCTCTGTTGCGTTGTTGTTGGCAAAGCAAACTCCTGCTTCTCCTTCTGCCCGTCTTTCTGGGGCGTGTGGGCCTGCGGAGGGAACTGGCGTCGCATGTCGTCAGCGTGTCGGCGGCGCCGCCGCGAGAGGGACGCGGCCGCCTTGAGGGGCCCTGCCCACGCCGCCGAGGGGTGCGGGAATTCGTCCGAGGCTGCGCCGAGGGCCCCAAAAATGCTGTGGCAACGTCGCTTCGTGGCTTCCTGATCTCCTGCAGTGAGCCCGCACAGTACGAATGCGTGGTGAGGATGCAAGGGCCCTGGAAGGCCATGCCGACGCTTCGCGGGCGGGGCGCGGCTGCGGAGAGCGGCCGAGGAGGGGCCGAGGCGGACGGATGCAAGCGTAACTTTTGTATACAGTTGTTCGTCCTTCCTGTGCGGGTTGACTGTGCTCTCCGCCGCTTCGTCCCCCCCCCCCTCCCCTGACATCCGCTCTGTCCCCTTCTCCTGGTCCCCTCGTCTTTCCCGCCGCCTCCAGTCATCCCCTTCCTCCGCCTCGCTTGGGGTGGCGGCCCCAGTGGCGTGCCTAATCTTACCTCCTCCCCCCTCCGCCTTGACCCCTTCTCCCTTCTACATCCTCCTCGTCCTCTCCTCCCTCTCCTCCTCCTCCGGGCGCCGTCGCCATCGGCGCCGTCACCGTCGGCGCCGTCGCTGCCCTCATCGTCGTCCCCTGCGTCCTTCGGCGGCGGCGGCGACCGAGACGGCGACGGGGCGACGCCACGGCGCCGAAGACGCCGCCGCTACCGACGCCGACGACGCCGTCGTCACCGCCGCCGTCGTCGGCGTCGGCGCCGTCGGCGCCGGCGTCGTCCTCGCCGACCACCGGCGGCGGCGACCGAGACGGCGGCGGGGCGACGTCACGGCGCGAGCAGGCCGTGGCCCTCGGCGCGGCCGCCTGCGGCATCGGCCGCCCGGCGCGCCGCCCCGCCCCCCGCCCTTCGCCGCCGCCTTCGCCGCGCGAGGGCCCCCCGGCTGCCCCGGCGCGCAAAGCCCGGGCGTGGACAGATTCTCGGGGGGGGTCCGACGAAGCGCATGAAGAGCAAGTGCTCTTCGTCGGGGTACCCTGGGTTGCTTCGCTCCGCGCGCTGCGCAGTGACTTCCGCGGCCTCCGAAGGAGCTGCGTCGGACGTCTCCTCCGATGATATGAGGTTTTCAAACTTATTGTTGTGCCTCGATGTTCTGCCAGCTTCGACCTCCCCCCTCGTCCGCAGCGCAACATGATTTCCGAAGATATGGTTGTTACGGTCCGCCTCAATCCCAGCGGTTTTTCTCGATCTCGACCCCTGGGGCCCGGGGCCGTTCGATCACGGACCCGTTCCGAAAACCTACCCCGTGGGAAGGGGTCGGGGCTTCCGGGGCCACGCCCTGAAAAGATCACGTCGTCGGATGACTGGAGCCGTTGGGGGGCCCGTCGATCGGGGGCACCCAAGGCACATACGACGTTCCGATTGAGTTTTTAGCAATGATCACCAGCAAGAGCTTCTAGCACCAGGAAGTGCCGAAATTCGAGGGTATCCACGTGTCGGGCCTTCGGATGCGATGCTCGTCGGACCTTTCGCTAGCGTGTCGGGCAGGCATTGTTTCGATACGTTTCTGGGTGCTCGAAACTATTTCTGTGATGTGGTCGTTAAGTGCGATGGAAAGAGCAACGCCCAAGGCCCAGACCTGCAACGCAGGGGGGTGGGGGCGACGGCTCTGGGCCTTCCAGACGGGGTCCGAGCAGATGGAATTGGAGGGTCGCGCCGCATCGCCGATGCATGGCCGATGCGGCTCGATGTGGAACCCGATTTTCTACGCGCCGGCGTCGCCGATGCACCGCCGGCGTCGCCGATGCACCGTCGACGCATCGGCGACGCCGGCGTGATCCTCCGACCCAAGCTGTTCGGACTCCTCCTGGGAGGCCTCTTTCAACGCAAGAGGGCGGGGGCGACGGCGCCTCCCGCGCCCACAGGGTGCGAGAGGAGGCAGATGAGGAGGGAAGGAAACGCACAGACACAGTGAATCGTCGATTCCCCATAAAATATGGAAGAATATGGGAAGTGGGGGGGAAGACGAAAACCCAGAAAATATTATGAAATATGGAGAATTATGTTATTTGTGTCTATTTATTTGTGTGTCCCAGGGCCCCTTCACCTGTGTTTTCGGAGAAGGCTTAGAGGATTGGTTTTCACGGAAGGCGCCAGGACTTTGAGAAGGCCGGCCCCTTCTCTTTCCCCCTCGGGGCTCCCTGCCAAGTGTCGATCGGGGGCGCAATCGGCTGGCACAGTTGGCGCTACAATGGCTCAGCAGGCACAGGGTGGCACGCCAAAAAGTTAGCTGACCTCAGATGGAATCTTGCCACAGACGGGAGCGGACGAACAACTGAACGTGGGCGCTAAACACGCTTAGCTTAAGACGGGAGTTGTCGAGAAACGGAATCTCAGCGCTGAGCAGCCAACATCAGCTGCCAAAAACGGGGTTCCGCCTCGGCGGTAATGGTCGGAAAATGCAATCTCAATTGGATATTTGGGAAAGAGTCTTAGGGATGCCGCTCAGATCCTCAGGAACCCGTAGAACATCCTGGGGACCCAGCTGAGGCCCTGAGGAATCCCTAAAACATTTTATCACGCAGGGATCCCTCGGAATCACTCGGGGTTCTTGGGCATCCCGTCCAGATTCGGTTGTGTTAGGTGTGCCAGTTTGCAAGGGGTGCTCTCCCATGGACCCATGAAAGGTTCCTGCATTTGCAGCGCACACGGTGCTCGTGGATGCTCGTGGATCGGGTGCCTTCCCATGGTCTCATGAGATGTTCCTACTTGCGAAGCGCACGGGGTGCTCGTGGATGCCCGTGGGTTGGGTGCTACTCCATGAGCGCATGGGAGATTCCACCCCGTGCAGCTCATAGCATGCTCGTGGACGCTCGCGGAGGGGGTGCCCTCATACGAACCCACAAGCGATTCTCACCCGCGCAGCGCACAGGGTGCTCGTGGATGGTGCGCTGTCCCATGGGCCCATGGGCGATTCATACCTGTGCAGCGCAACGGATGTTTGCGGACGCTCGTGGACGGGGTTCCCTCGACTGGACCCATGAACGATTCCGACTTGTGCCTCGGACAGGATGCGCGGGGATGCTCGTGGATGGGGTGCTCCCCCATGGACCCGCGAGCGATTCCCACCTGTGGAGCGCGCGGGATTCTCGTGGATGCTTGTGGATGAGGTGCTCCGCCATGCGCCAATGAGCGGTTTTCACCGGCGCAGCGCACAGGATGCTCGTGGATGGGGTGCTCCCCCTGGGGCCCATGGGCGATTCGTACTTGTGCAGCGCACAGGATGCTCGTGACTCGCGGATGGGGTGATCCCCCGTGCGCCCCTGAGCGATTTTTTTTATTTGCGCAGCGCACAGGATGCGCGCGGATGCGTGCTGATGGTGTGCTCTCCCATGTACCGGGGACGATTTCCACCCGAGCAGCGCGAAGGACGCGCGTGGATGCCCGTGGGTGGTACTTTCATATGGACCCAAGAGTGGTCCTCGCTTGTGCAGCGCACGCGGTGCTCCTGTATGCTCGTGGATGGGGTCCTCCCCATGGGCCCATGGGCGATCCGTACTTGTGCAGCGCACAGGATGCCCGTGGATGCTCGTGGATGGGTGCTCTCCCATGGACCCATGAACGGCTCCTGCCTTCGCAGCGCACACGGTGGATGGGGTGGGGTGTTTTTTTTTGGATGTATGAGTGATTCCTAGTGTGCAGCGCGCAGAATGCCCGCCAGTGTTCGTGGATGAGGTGCTCGTGGACGCTTGTCGATTTTCATGGACGGACTGCCCTTTCCATGGGCCCACAAGCGATCCATACTTGTGCAGCGCACTGGTTGCCCGCGCTTGCTCATTCATGCGGTGCTCTTCAATGCACCTGTGATTGGTTACTACCTGTGACGCGCACAGGGTGCCCGTGGATGCCCGTGGATTGGGTGTTCTCCCGTGGGCCAATGGGCGGTTCCCACCTGTTCAGTTCACAGGGTGGTGCTCGTGGGTGCTCGAGGATGGGGTGTTTTCCCATTGGCGCATGAGCGGTTCTTGCCTGGGCAGCGCACAGGAAGCCCGTGGGTTCGCTTGGATGGGGTGCTCTAGGATGCTCGTGTATACGCGTGGGCGGGGTGCTCTCCCATGGGCCGACGAGCGGTTCCCGCTTGCGCAGCGCGCAGTGTGCTTTGTGACGAGGTCTCCCTCCCCCGCGGGCCCACGAACGATTCCTATCAGCGCAGCGCTCAGGGCGCCCGTGGGAGTCGAGGATGCGCCCCTCCCCCCCTGGACCCATGAGCGATTCCTACCTGTGCCTCGCGCAGGATTCTTGCGGATGCTCGTGGATGGGGCTCTCTCCCATGTGCGCGCCGATGTGTTTGTTTGTTCTTTTTCGTTTCGCGCCTGGTTCAAGGTGTTCGCGGATGGGGTGCCCTTCCGTGGGCCCATTAGCGGTTCCTGCTTGCGAATCGCACGGGGTGATCGTGGATGCTCCTCCATGAGCCCATGGGCGATTCCCCCCCGCGGAGGTGGGGCTCGTGGAGGGGGGGCACCATATGAATCCACAAGCGGTTCCCACCCGCGCAGCGCACAGGGTGCTCGTGGATGGCGCGCTGTCCCATGGGCCCATGGGCGATTCATACCTGTGCAGCGCAACGGATGTTTGCGGACGCTCGTGGACGGGGTGCCCTCGCATGGACCCATGAGCGATTCCGACTTGTGCCTCGGACAGGATGCGCAGGGATGCTCGTGGATGGGGTGTTCCCCCATGGAGTCGCGAGCGATTCCCACTTGTGGAGCGCGCGGGATTCTCGCGGATGCTCGTGGATGAGGTTTCCCAGGGGCCGATGAGCGGTTTTCACCGTCGCAGCGCACACGATGCTCGTTGGTGGGGCGCTCCCCCAGGGGCCCATGGGCGATGCATAAATGCGCAGCGCACAGGATGCTCGTGACTCGCGGATGGGGTGATCCCCCGTGCGCCCATGAGCGATTTTTTTATTTGTGCAGCGCACAGGATGCGCGCGGATGCGCGCGGATGGGCTGCTCTCCCATGCACCCGGAACGATGACTGCCTGCGCGGCGCGCAAGTCTCGCGTGGATGCCCGTGGGTGGTACTTTCATATGGACCTACGAGCGGTCCTCGCCTGTTCAGCGCACACGGTGCTCGTGTATGCTCGTGGATGGGGCCCTCCCCATAGCTCACGGGCGATTCGTAATTTTGTAGCGCACAGGATGCTCGTGGGTGGGCGCTCTCCCATGGACCCATGAGCGGTTCCTGCCTTCGCGGCGCACGCCGTGCTCGTGGATGCTCGTTGACGGGAGCGATTTCTTTTGCGTGGCGCACAGGTTGTCCGCCGGTGCTCGTGGATGGGGTATTCCAGGGTGCTCGACGATCCTCGTGGATGGGCTGCCCTTCCATGGGCCCATGAGCGAATCCATACTTGTGCAGTGCACAAGATGCTGGCGCATGCTTATTCATGGGGTGCTCTGCAATGCACCTGTGATTGGTTACTACTTGTGACGCGCACAGAGTGCCCGTGGATGCCCGTGGATTGGGTGTTCTCCCGTGGGCCAATGGGCGGCTCCCACCTGTTCAGTTCACAGGATGGTGCTCGTGGGTGCTCGAGGATGGGGCGTTCTCCCATTGACGCATGAGCGGTTCTTGCCTGGGCAGCGCACAGGAAGCCCGCGGGTTCGCTTGGATGGGGTGCTCTAGGATGCTCGAGTATGCACGTGGGCGGGGTGCTCTCCCATGGGCCGACGAGCGGTTCCCGCTTGCGCAGCGCGCAGTGCGCTCTGTGACGGGGCCCCCCCCCCGCGGGCCCATGGGCGATTCCTACGCGCGCAGCACGCAGGGCGCCCAAGGACGTCGAGGATGCCCCCCCTCCCCCCTCTCCCGATGGACCCATGAGCGATTCCTACCTGTGCCTCGCGCAGGATTATTGCGGATGCTCGTGGATGGGGCTCTCTCCCATGTGCGCATTGGCGATCTCTATATGCGCAGGATTCAAGGTGCTCGTGGATGGGGCGCCCTCCCGTAGGCCCATTGGCGGTCCATGCCTGCGCGAAGCACGGGATGCTCGTGGATGCTAGTGGATCTTGCGTTTGTGCAGTTGCAGGTTGTTCGTGGATGGAGTGCTCCCCCACGGACCGTGGGCGATGCCTACTTGTGCAGCGCGCAGTATGCTCGTGGATGCTTATGGGCGATTGGGCGCGCCCCCATGAACCCGCGCGATTCGACTTGCGCAGCGCGCAGGACGAGCGTAAATGCTCGCGGATGGGATGGTCTCCGATGGGCCTTCAAACGGTTCGTATCCCCGCAGCGCACAGGATGCTTGTGAATGCTGGTGGATGGGGGGTGCCCTCCCGTAGACCCGCGGGCGGTTCCCACCTGCGTGGCGCTCTTGGATGCTCCTGGATGGGGTGCTTTCACATAGGCCCATGATCGAGTCCTACCTGTATCGCGCTCGGAGTGCTCGCGAATGCTCGTGATTGGGGGTGCTCTCTTATGGATCCATGTTCCATTTGTATGTGTGAAGTGCACAGGATGTGATTTGGATGACTTCCTACGGACCCATGAGCTATTTCTATCTTGGCGGTGCGTTGGATGTTTGCGGATTCTCGTGGTTTGGGGCGTCCTCCCATGGACCGATGAGCGAGTTCTATTTGCGCCGCGCTCATGATGCTCGTGGATGCTCGTGGACGGGGTGTTCCCCCGTAGGCCCATGGACGATTCCTACCTGTGCAATGCACAGGATGCTCGTCGATGGAATGCTCGTGCCTGCGCAGCGGACAGGATGCTCGTGGATGGTTGCTACCCGTTGGCCCATATTCGGATCTTCTCTGCGCGGCGCCCCGGATGTTCGTGCAGGGGGGGGGGGGGGGGGCATGCGCCCCAGAGCGATTCCCACTTGCGCAGCGCATTGTGTGCTCGTGGATGGGGTGTCCTCCCATAGACCATGAGCGATTCCTATCGGTGCAGCGCCCAGGATGCTCGGGGATGCTTGTTGATGGGGTTCTCCCCAATGCACTTGTGATTGGTCACTACCTCTGCAGCGCATCGGATGCTCGTGGATGCTTGTGGGAGGGGTGTTGATTCTTGCCTGTGCAGCGCACAAGACGCCCGTAGGTGCTCATGGATGCGGTGCTCTAGGATGCTCGCGGTTAGTTGTGGATGGTGTCCTCTCCCATGGGCCCACGAGCGGTTCCTACACATGCAGCGCGCAGGATTCTCGTGCATGCTCGTGGGCCGGGAATTCCTCCGTGGACCCATGAGCGATTCCTACTTGTGCAGCGCTCCGGACGCTCGCAGATGCTCGTGGACGGGGCGTTCCCATCCGGTCCCATGAGCGCGCAGCGCACAGGAAACTCGTGGATGGGGTTCTGCCCCATGGACCCGCGCGCGATTCCTTCCGTCGCAGTGCACAGGATGCTCGTGGCAGCGCGGGGGCGGGGCGCCCTCCCGTGGGCCCGTGAGCGGTTTCCCTGTGCAGCGCACAGGATGCCAGTGGGTGTTCGTGGATGAGGTGCTCTCCATGGGGCCGCTCGTGGTTCCTACTTGCGCAGCGCACAGGATGCCCGTGGATGCTCACGGATGGGGCGCTGGCCCGTGGTTCCATGAGCGATTCCGTCTGGTGCATCGCACATGATGTTCTTAAATGCTCGTGGATGAGATGTTCCCCCTTTATGACCCATGATCGACTCCTGCATGTGCAGCAAACAGGATGCTCGCAGATGCTTGCGAGTGGGCTGCTCTCCCATGGGCCCGCGAAAGCTTCCTACTTGTGCAGCGCACAGGGTGCTCGTAGATGCTCGTGGATGGGGTGCTCCCCCCTGGGCCCATTTGCGAATCTTACCAGTGCAGAGCACAGGGTGCCCGTAGATTATGGTGGATGGGGTGCTCTCCCATGCACTCATGAGCGATTCCCACATGTGCCGCGCACGGGATGCCGGTGGATGGGTTGCTCTCACCTGGACCCATGGGCGGTTCCTATCTGCGTCGCGCGCAGGATATTCGCGCATGCTCCTGGGTGGGGCGTTCTCCCGTGGACCCATAATCGATTCCAGCCTGTGCATCGCACAGGGTGCTCGCGTATGCTCGTGGATGGGTTGTTCCCCCAGGGGCCGCGCGCGATTCCCACCTGCCCGTTCAGCGCATCGGGTGGTCGTGCATGTTTGTGGATGGGGTGCTCTCCCAAGTGCCCGTGAATGATTCCTACTTGCGCAGCGCACATGATGCCTTTGGATGCCCGTGGATGCCCGTGGATGGGGGTTCTCTCCCATTGACCCTTGAGCGATTCCTAACTGTGCAGCGAACGTCATGCCCGTGGGTAGTGTCTCCCCCATGGGCACATGGGCGGCTCCTACCTCCTACCTGTGCAGCGCACAGGATGCCTGTGGATGCTAGTGAACGGGGTGTTCTTCCATGGGCCCATGAGCGATTCCGACCTGTGCAGCGCGAAGGACGCCTCGTGAGCGCGCGAGGACGGGATGCTCTCCCAACGGTCCGTGAGCGATTCCTACGTGTGCAACGCATTGGATGCCCGTGGATGCTCGTGACGCAAACGAGCCGTACGGCAATTTCACACCTTCTTAAGAGCAGTGGCTATCAGCGCGGTGTACTGTGTTCGCATGTGCTGTGATGCGTCGAGATGCAGCGCAACGCAGCGTGATACAGCGTATGGGGAGCAATGTGGTCGGTTGTGTTGTAATGCGCCCTTTCTTGCGAAATTGATTCGCGGCGGCCGACACAGGTCCATGACCCGTCATGGTTGGCTACGGGATGTTCCGACGCATTTGTTCCGTTGCGTGTCTGCGCGCATGTGCAAGATTGCTGGTATGTTGGCTTGCAAGAGTTCTTCATTGTTTGCGTGTTTGCTTGCTTGCTTGCTTGCATCCATGCTTGCGTGCATGCTTGCTGCTCCTTCGTATGCTGTTCATTACCAGATGAGCGGACGACTCATCCTCGCAATATCGCCTGCTTGGTATACGTCGGTGCGCCCTCGTGCAGCGCGACGACACGGGATGTGATGTGTTGTGGTACGGTGTGATGTGAGGTGGCATTGCGTCATACTTTGTGATATGATCGTAGCTATTCACGTGCATGTGCGCTTACAAGTCGCACGGTGCTGGTGCGTGTTCATGTCTACGGTGGCGTGCGCACACGTACGAACGGCTGGTTTGCATCCATGCGCATGTGGAGCTCCGCGCGGATGTTTTGGATCGCCGTTCCGCCCCTGGCGCGCTCCGCCCACCAGGGAGGGGATCCTTGCCCTGGCCCACGAAATCCGCGCGAAGCTCGGAGATTTAATTTTTTATGCCGTTCTTTCTTCATTTGAGGCTGAAGTCGTACCAAGGGGGGCTTGCCCCGCCTTCCACAGTGAACGTTAGCGCATCGAGGTGTGCGGTCCGGAAAGCATTCAGCCAAGAGCCCAGCGCGCCCCATATCTTTAAAGGTGCCGTCAACAAGGGAAGGGTCGCTCAACAGGGGCGTCGGCACAAGAAATCTGATGGGAGCTCTGAGCGCCTGTGTTGATACACATGCTATTATGTATCAGTGTTCTGTTATGTGTATTCGTCTTCTCCTTCTTCTTCTTTTTCTTCTGACCTCGAGCCTCGCACCAGCGCGGAGGTGCTCTACTCCCTCGCTTCCTACGGCGAGAAGGGCATCGTGCGCATGGTGCACATGCTGCAGGAGATGGCCCCCTTTTCTGGCGGAGGTCGTCGGCTGCGGGAGGTCCCACCCCCTGCGGCGAGCGCACGGCGAGGGCCGACGGGGGTCGGCCGCATCGTCGGGACCCTCGGGACCCTCGCCTTGGGTGCGCCTTCCCGCCCGAGCCGGCGAGGGGATGTCGGGGGGCCCTCTCCCTGGCGGGGGCGGAGGTGGAGCTGCTGCGCCACCGGCCGGGTGGGCAGGAGTGGGTGCGGATCTCCTTCCCCCCCTGAGATCCAGCACCGCGAAAGAGTGCAGAATCTTCAAGATCGCGATTGGAACCCTAGACCCAGTATTTCTGCAGGTCTCGATCCTTCTCAGATGGCGGGGTGGTTCTGTGAAGATAGGGGGGCCGTCTTAGAAGCCCTCCAGGCGATCAAGGCGCCTTCGTAGAATCATTTGGGACCTTTGAAGAAGGGCCGCGTCCTCTCAGACGCGTCCCCCTAACTTAGAAGGCACCCCCCCCTCCCCTGGAGCCCGTCGATGCTCTCATTGTGAAGCGCAGAAGGACGGACTGTTTTCGGCGGTGTTTGGCGTGTTGGCCTCGATTATAGGCAGTCCCGTGTTTTCAACCGTTGTTGACTGCTCCGTGCTGGTGGGTTTGGCAGGCGCCGCTGGAACCGCCAGCGAGCCCTCAGGGGCCCCGTGACCGTCAAAGAACTATTCGGGATGAAACGGCAGTCCCCAGGAAAGGGTCAAGACTTCAGGGAAGCTACATTGCGAAGAAAAACACGACGTCGGGTGTCTGGAAACACCCAAGGCCCACCCCTCCTCTCCTCTCCTCCCCCTCACTATCTCCTCCCATCCTCCTCGAGAGGAGGGGCAAGTGCGTCGAGGGGGTGTGAAATCCCCAAGGGCACCTAATCGCAGGAGGGTCAGTCGAGGCCATGGCGTCCCTCCCTGACTGTTCTTCCTTGTTGGGCCTCCTGGAGGCTCCTCGTCGCCACGCCTGGATCCGCCTCGAAAACAAAGTCCGGGGACCAGTGTTGAGCGGATTCGGGACGAGCCCCAGGTTGGCTTATCTGGCCCTCCTCCGACCCGAAGGCCCTCCCGAAACCGCCGATGGCCTTCAAGAACCTCTTTCCTCCTCTTGTTCTTCCACAGATAGAAGAAATCGCCACGAAGTCTGCCTTGGGCTGATCAGCTTTTGTCCGCCGGCGATGCAGCGGTCCCACGCCCGATTCGGCGACACAGGCCCACCAAGGGTTTAGCAGTCAGAATGGGCCGAGCCCAGATGGCAAGCTATCCTTCTCATCTTGCTCGCACGGGAGGCCGGCAGCCCCCCGTCTCTCTGGACTGGCTTAATCCGAGGTTTTTGGTTGCACGAGCAGGTCTTGGTGCAATGCCAGTGTGGTCAGCTCAGACTGGCACTTGTAGAGTTCGTCCGCTCCTTGTTATCCCATCGGTCACTAGACGCCAACCGACACCAGTACCTGCACAAGACGGAATTGCGAGGGCACACACACACACACACATGCTCCCATGATTTACTACCGCAGGGAGGCGTTAGCCCCTGCTCCTCCTCCGTCCTCTTTCTCGAGGGGAGTGGCAAGTGCGTCGAGGGGGTGCGGCGGCAAGGACGAGCTGCAGATGGTGATGCGCCTCAGCGGCACCGCGAGCATCCCGAGCATCACGCCCAACCACGTCATTACCAGGACAGGGGCGGGAAGGAGTCGGCGGAGTGAGCGACGGATCGAGGATAATGGCGGAGAGAAGGGGGGACGGCGGAGTGGGATGCAGGAGAGGAGGTTAGGAAGAGGAGGAGGAGGATTATTTTTTGTTGCATCATCAACGCCAGGGAAGCTCAAGACCCTCCACAACTGCACAGGTGGAGGGCAATGCGCTGAGCGGCACGACCCCTGTGCAGGTCAGGGTCGGCCGCAACGGCTGGCACGGTACACGGCCAGCGCGAAACGCTGCGACAGGCAGAGCCCGACAACAGCAGCCGCAACAGCTGGGCTGGGCGGCGAAGAAAAGAAAAGGGACGAACCGAAAACCGCCAGGCGCAGAAGGAGCGCCAGTCGGTCGGAGTCGACCACACGCTGAACAACGGCAGGACAAACGGGCGCCGTCTCCTCTAAAAGGAGGGCGGCCGCTGTGCAACCAAGCCAAAACGAACGTACGTGCTGCGCACCTTCCCCCACAACTGGGGTGCCTGACGCACGTGCACGAGACGCCCGACACGCAACAGCAGAACCTTTGTGGCGACAGGATAGCGCAGAAAGCCAGCCCCTGGTGTAAAGAACGCCAGGACGGCGGCCAACTGCTGTCTGAAGTGGGGTACGCCCCAGCACAATCACAACGCCGCGGACAAAGTATAAAAGAAACAGGGCGACGCCAGGACGACCGCCAGGCAAACCCCAGGTGTACCTAACCCGAGTGGGCGGACGCCTGGACGGCCCCTGGACAGCCCCTGGTGTGGGCCCGCCTCGCCACCAGAGCCAGTGCACCCATGGTGAGTCCTCCAGATGCGGCCTGAGCCAACTGGGCGGAGCGATCAAAGGACCCACCGTCACCCGCCCCAACGCAAGGTGCAAAGGCTTCAAGCGGCGGGAACAAAACCTCCTGTGGGATGAGGCAGCGGTCGGGACTGTGCAGCCCCCGTGCCAGGCCCAGAAGAGTGACAATACTCGAGCTGCGCACCTTCCCCCGCAGCTGGGGTGCCTGACGCGCGTACAAGCGGGCGCACCCGTGACGCACAAGCGGCCAGGGCGACACAGCACATTACCCCTGGTGCAAAGGACCTCCTCCGCCCCCCGACGACGAAGACCTGACGACCAACTCCTCCTCCTCGGAAGCTCCGAGCAGCAGACGAGCCATCTTGTCCTCCGTCTCGAGGCTATCAGGGTGTAAATGTCCCTGGACAGGCAGAGTGGACTGCACCGGCTGCCTGACTGAATAATGCCCCGCTCCAGGCAACGGGGACTGGACAGGAAGACTGGAAGAACCGCTGAAACTAGAGAAATTCGCGCTACTGCGCGACGTCCTGACCGCCGTAGATTTCGATAAACTGGGTGCAGCGCAATGTGGGGACGAGAGGCGCCAGTCGCAGCTCCAGCTGCAGACGCTGGTGCCTGCAAGGCGCTGGTGGCCGATCGGCCACTGCAGCTCGCCTGTGATACTGGCTCGTAAATTGCCTGCGCGGGCCGCACCTCGGTGTTGCGGTAACGTGCTAACTCGGCTGCTACTCTACGCAGCACCTGGCCTGGGCGCTCGGCCTGCTCCTGAGGGGAAGGGGGGATCGGGGGGGGCTCAGCGGGAGGGGGGGGGGGGGCGTCCAGTGCGCCTTCGGCCGCCAGGTCCACATGCTGCAGGGTGACGCCATCCTCCTTGGAATCGCGTCCGCTTCTGCTGGGCTCGGTAGGGGGTGCTGCTCCCTCCCGAGGTTGGCCAGACGGTCCGCGCGGTGGTTCCCAAGCCTCAGAAAATACTCGCGAGCGGGTAGTGATTCATCAAGCTCCTTGTGAGCGCACACCTTGATGACTGCCTGCACACGTGAAAGATCCCCCATGCGCGCCTGGAACTTGAAACCAGCGTGCATTCGTTTGTGCGACAAGGCTTGCTGCCTGGCAAGTTGCGAGTGACATGCTACAAACTGGCAATCCGAGTAAATATTAGTTGGGCCAGCCAGCGTGTGTGCGACAGCAGCGAAGATGCCGCGCTCTCCGCCCTGGGGCGTCTGGGGCCACGGCGCCCAAAGCGGAGCAAACAAACCAGCCCCGAGGGAACCATCCTGGTTTAGGACCTGGGCCCCAAAGCCCGTCCTGGAAAGTTCCCGAATAGGGTGTCGGGCACATGAGCCATCAATAAACAGTTCGCCCTGAAGCTTGAAGTTCTCACCCTCAACCACCGGCCCCCCAGGGGCGGGAATGAAAACCACACCTCCATCAGAACAAGGTGGAGGCACTGTATCCCCAGGATGCTGCAAGAGCCCTCTGGTGAAAAGCAAGAGATCTTCAGTGGAGTCCGCGTGCTTCGCCTCGTCGATGAAAACTACACCCTTGTCGCCCAAGACTTCCCTGCGCTGCTCGTCGCAGTGATGGCGCAACCATAGCCGATGCAAAAGCGCGTCTGGCCCAACTCCGCACATCTGGCAAACGGCGCTGCCCACCTGGTAGCCTAAACTTAAAGCTCGCTCTCGAGTCCAAACAGCGTTGGTGGCCAGACTCCTGATACAACCTCGCTCCAAGGGTGTGAATCTGGACGACGACGACGCCGACTTCATGATGTCGAAAGAAGTTCGGCCTTGAATACCCTCTTTCTCGGCAACATCCTTTTCCAGAGCCCTCCGGACCCCGTGCTTGAGCAGCTGGGCCACCAACTTAGCCGACGAGAGGGTTAACGACATCCTGCTATTGAAATGTTCGATGAATTCCGTGAACGATTCCGTAGACCAGCCGATCCGAGATAAAGCAAGCCGAATGGCCGTCATCGGGCCTGACACGCGCCTCCAGGTAACAGTCCGAGAACTCCGGAAACAAAAAAAAACGATTCCCAACCTTGCCGAAGCTCGTGCCAAGAAAGCGCGCCGTCGAACAAAAAGGTGTGTCTGAACCAGATCTCCTGAGAATACTTGACCGCGGGCCCCACGGAGCCGAACCAACCAGGGTCGTCTTCTAAGATCATGGGGGCCGAAAGGGACCTCTTTCCAGCAGACGGCTTAATCGAAGAAGCAGCCCCCCTGCGCACCTGCAGAAGCTCGTGGTCGGACATCCCGAAAACAGCGCAATCATAGAGCACCCCAGGGATGGGCCCCGACGAACAGATTTTCACCGCACGCCTGCCCAAAAAGGGGCGCTGCTTCTTCATCCTGGCAACCTTCCTCTCGAAAATGGTCATGCGAACCGTGATATTCTGAGGCCTGCCAGCCTGTCTCTTGGCTAGCCCAGCGGTGGCGCCCACCCCCAAATTGGTAGTGACCGAAAGGTGCGGACCCGCAAGGTCCCCGACATGCGACTGGAGAGCTGACGCGATTGCTGGGCTAGAAGGTATAGGGCGCAACTTTGTCCATGGCGATCTTCGCCTCCATGTCTACAGTGATGGCGTGGTGGACGGCCTCTGCAGCCTCGATCAACTCCTTAATGACAAGACGGGGTGGACCGACCGAGCATAACATGTCATCGCCGATATAGATATCAAAGAAAGTGCTCGGCGACCGCGGGACCTTGTCATAGGCTTCGATCGAGTAAATCCCAACGTGCGCGGTTGCGAAGCTACAGCCAGCCACCACACCTCGATTCACATACCAGGGGCCATTAATCACCCCTGCCATAGAAAGAAACCTAGGTGGGAGACCCAGCCTTAAAGCACAAAGCTCGAGCCTGCGCAAATTTAACAGCTCGTAATAGTTGTGCATATCCCACAGACTACTAGCCGCCTCATCCCCTTCAGCAGTACCCATCTCTGCCCTATATGCTTGCCTCCAGACCGCGTCCAGGGCGCCTCTGTGGTGCCCCGCAGCAAAAAACTGACGCTCGTGGTCGAGCTCCCACTGGAAGGCGATCGGCCTGCGCGCTGTGCCCCAGAGCCTGTGCAATCCTCCGAATACTCCGGTTGGTCGCCAACCTCCGGCAGCCTTGGGGGGCAACGCAATGATCACAGCCTGGAGCTGTGAGGGCAGGGCCCCCAGACGTTCCATGATGTAAGAAAAGGATGGCGACCCATCGGAGGCCGTCGTCGCAAAAGGAGCGAGAAGTGACGCATGTGGAAGCCGTCCACGGCTACAGCGCTGGTCGCCTTGTAACGCCTAGAGAGACCCCTGAGCGTGTCAGGGTCCAAGAGGGGAAGCGGCTCGTGCAGCCCCTTCGGGGCCAAATCTCGAGGGCCTTTGGAGGCCCCCCAGTAACCCGAGAGCTTGGTGCTTTCGGCGTCCAGGAGAGAGAGAGGGTCCGACACGACGCAGCCCCCCGCGGACAGCGTGGACGTCGGCTTCCAAGCCGACGGGTCCCGAAGCACGCTGTGAGCTCGCTTCCCCCCCTGGTCCAACCTGAACGTCAGCCATGACTTCCAGTCCTTGCGGCCTATCACCTTGTCGCGGCCAGTAGTGCACTGGAGGGCTTCAGCGATCCTGTCACCTAGAGCCAAGAACTGCGGGTCGAAATCCGCGGGCCGAGCCCGGAGAAAGCCGATCGGTTCCAGAAAAACTTTGACTTGCCGAAAAATGTCGACGGATTCCCCCAGGCGGTCAGCGATGTACCCAGGAACGCCCAGCAAGGACCGAACGAGCCCGAGACCGACATCGCTCAAAAGGTCCAGCAGAAGCCCTCAGACACCTGCCCAAGCTCAAAAAGCGCGCGCTGGGCCAGCGCACACAAAACAGCTCGGGATAACGTGGCTGCTGGTCCTTATTATGGAGGCTTTTCCAAAACGTCTGGGGATTCTTCCCCTTCGATCCATGACAGGACAAGTCGACGCCGAAAATGGAACACAACTCTTTTTCCGAAAGGTTGGCCCAAGACTGGCAGAGACTGGATAACAACCCCTGTCCCCTGGAGGTGCACCCTCTGTCGACAGCTTGGACGGCGTGGTCAGCCATCTCCAAAGCTTGGTCCCAGGGCGTTGGCTCGGCGCGAGGGCCGAACGGCGCCTCCACAGGAAGAGGTGGCGGCCCCCGAAAAGCCAACACCTGTAAATCAGCAAGCCGAGGGAAAAACTAAGCCGACGGGGCAGCGGGGGAAGAAATCCGCACCGGTGTTGACGCTGATGCTGCGCACAGCCTTAGCCAGACCCGCAGAGCCCCAGAAAACAAAAAAACAAAAAAAAAAAAAAAAAAAAAAAAAAAAGTAGGGGGCGACGCCATGAAGCACGTCGGGTCCGACGGGGCCAGGACCTGTCCCTGGAGTTTTTCGCCAACCCCAATGTATTCCAAGCCCTCTGGCTGCAGGTTGAAACCCCCTCCGACGAGACCTCCACTGCCAGCAACTTGCAAGGAGCTGTCGATGGCTGCGAGGATGCTGACATTGGTGTCCGACAGCCCCTGGGAGGTGACCAAGTAGCAGGGCAAAACCTTGGTTTCATAGCCCCGTGGAGGATGAACAACTCCAGCGACCACGCGATGGGGCCAGACCTGCGAGCTTTCAGGAGGAAGGTGAAGCCCAAGGAAGTCCCTCGCCAGGATAGCGACGCCTCCAGAGGCAGCATAACCCTTACCAGGGGCCGCTGGTTCCCAATTACTTTTGAAACCACGAGCCGAGCACCGCTGCGAAGCCTTATCGACGGGGCCCCCAGCTATCAGCTTGTGTTCCTGGATCAAAATGACGTGGGCGGTCGAGGACAAGATCCAGTCCCGCATCGAGCTCCAACTGTTTCCATTGACGGTCTGCACGTGAAGGGGAAGCTGCTCCTGGGGGGGTCGGGGCGGGGTGCAGAAAACAGACCCTGAAAGAAAGGCTGGCAGACCGTCACGGCTTGGCAGCACTGCTTGCTCGCTCGGCCTCGGCCTCGCCTTAGTCGGAAGGCGCCCACCCTCCGAACAGAAGAAGCGAAGCTGCCGAATGCGACGGCAGCAGCGAGCGATAGGCGAGCGAGCAGACGCCTGGCAAAAAAAAACACGCGAGGCGAGATAGTCGAGCAACTTACCCAGCTGCTCCGAGGGCGTTGTGTTCTCAGGCAGATTTCCGCGCTCCCCCCCCCGCCGCCGCGGGGGGGGGAGATGTATTGGACAACGCCCTCGCGACTCGGGCACGCAAATCGTCTGCCTTGGTGGGGCCTCCGGCCTCACCCTCAGCGGCTGGGGCAGAAGGCGCGTCACTGCCAGCGCTGGCAGCTCCTCCAGGCTGGCCGTCTCCACCTGCAGGAGCTCCGCCACCGCCTCCTGGGGCCGAGCCCGGTCCAGACTCTGGGTCCGTTTTCCTCTTCTTTGCCGCCAGCCGAGCCATGTGCTGCTGATGCGCCGCACGCGCTTCGGCAGCCTGCGCAACCAGAGGCCCCAGGAGCTCCGACGCGGCCTGCTTGATGGAAGCCCCCAGTTGTTGACGCCGCTGGTTGATCTCCGCCAGGTCGGCCTCCTCGAGGGACGTCTCGAGCGAAGCGTCCGCCACCAGCTCGTCCACCACGATGAGGTCGCCGATGTTGATGGAGCCGTCCACCAAAGCCGAGAGCTTGAGTGCCGTCGAAGCAGGCGACGCACCGCTCTCAACGTTACGGGCAGCCTGGAGCTCCTTGACGTCCTGCTGGTAGGCGTCGTCAGCCTTCCCCAACGCCTCCTGGAGATATTCGAGGTACACACGCAGGGCCTCCACATCTCGCTGCCACTTCTCAAGCTTGTCAAGCTCGCCAGCAATCTGCCTTTCCAATCTGGATACCTCCGCGTAGCTCTTCTGGATCCTCTGGTGGATGGGGACAGCCGAGGGGTTGTCCCTGGAGTAGATCTGCTGGGCCAGCTGATTGTATCGTTCTGCGCCGGCAGCGCCCCCCGCCTTGCGCGAAAGAGACGCGAGCTGTCGAGCCTCCTCCAACGATAGCTGTGGCTGGGCGCCCACTGCCAAGGGCTGCTTGCCTCCAGCCCCTCTGCCAGGTCCACCGACGCCAGCGGGACCGTGGCCATGGGCGCCCTTGCCGTTCCCCTTGCGGAGTTCACCTGCCCCATGACCCCGCACAGGAAGAGGATCAGCAAACATGCCAGGAGGGATGCCAGCCGCCCACGCCCCGCCCACGGGAGGCGCCTCCGCCACGTGGACCTTGGAGAGTGAGCCGCCGCAATGCTTGCAGAACCTGGCCTTAAGGCCGTTCTTGGCGCAGCCACAGGTGACGCACTTGAGCCCGCCGCCTGTCCCACTCTTGTCGACTCCACGACCAGACTTCCATCCCTGCCACTGCTTGTTTTCGTCTCGCCATAGCGGAGTCGGAGCACGGCCGCCATGATACATGAAAGAATCGCTCCCACAGGAGCTCACAAAGACTGCAGTCCGAGCCAATGGCCCGCAACAGCAATGCCGCTCTGAAGTTGGCTGTTGCAAGCTCAGAAACACCTGAGCCAGAACGGCTGGAGGAGGAGGAGGAGGAGGAGGAGGAGGAGGAGGAGGAGGAGGGGGCGAGGGGATGATGAGGAGGAGGAGGAGGAAGAGGAGGAGGAGGAGGAGGAGGAGGAGGAGGAGGAGGAGGAGGGGGAGGAAGATCAGGAGGAGGAGGAATGAGTGGAAGACAAGGAGGGACAGAGTGAGGGAGAACGAATGCGGATAAGGACGGGGAGAAGGAGGGAGAGAGGAGAAGCGGGAGTAGGAGCAGGAGGATGCGGATGGGAGGAGTCGAAGTGGGCAATAGGGAGGCGAAGGCGGTGAGTTCAGGAGATGGCAGAGGATTGAGAGTGGACGCCTAAAGATGGTAGTTGGAGGACGGAGGACGAACGGAAGGAGCAGGCAGAGAGGGAGGAAGGAGGAAGGATGTGTTTTGGGGGTGCACTTAGGCTTGGTGAACGCATGCCATCCTGGAGCAAGAGCGCTCTGAGGCACCATGAGAGGTAGTGCGTGCCTGAAGGGGGGCACTGGCTGGCCTCTTCCCAGCAGCATTCCAGGACCTCTGCTGGGCGAGCAGAAAGGGGGAGGACAGGGTTCGCTTCGACTTCTCCGATTCGACTCGATTCGATGTCGATGGTTTCCGATTCAATTCGATTCGACTTGGGATCAGATTTCTCATTAGAGGCACACTAGCCTGTCTATTTCTGCCGACTCGACCTTTCCTGACTCGGCTGCCGAGTTCCGCTGGTCCGATTCATTTCGATCGCCGATGCGACTTATCGATTCGACTCTGGGCTCTCCTGGAGTAGGCCTGGTCCCTCCTCATCCTCGCCGCGCCCCCGGCACGCGCGCGCGCCCCGTCGCCCGTCGCCCCGCCACTCCCCCAGCCGCGCCGCGCGCCGCACGTGCCGGCAGGAACCTAGCCGACCACGTCGTCCCGCTGCCGCAGGACGGTGAACCCCCTCCTGCGGTGGTTCCAAGATTCGGCCCTGAGGGATAGGGTCCTACGGATAGGAGGGGATCCGAGTGTGAATTTACATTGTTTGAATCACCTCGTCCTGGGGGGCCCATCCCTCAGGATCCCATCTTTGAACCATCGACCCTTGGAGGACGTTTTTCTGTAGACCCAGGCTTGTTTCCTTGCATGGCATCCCCCCCTCTCCGCCGCCGTTTCAAAGAACGATAGGTCGAAAAGGCGTGCAAGTGAGAGACGCTACTTGCGTGAAGTCCAGGTTTCCTTTCGGGCCTCGGCACGCACTCCCCTCCATGCACGTCAAGTTGCCAGAGCCTAACATCAACCGACAATTCCCACAATCTGAATCGCGTTTTGTGGTTCCGGCATTCCAGGATTAGTTTTTTGGAAGGTTTTTTTTGTTGAGAGGCGCGTACCGACTACAGTTTCAGTATATGCAGTAATCAGCTTGGTTTCGTTGTGGTTTTGTCATGCCTCGCGTCGAGCATAGTCATGTTTGCTCTGTTCCCGCTTAGACATCGCACGCTACCACAGGGTCCGTTTCGATCCGATCGATCCGTTTCGATGTCGGTTTCGCCCGATCCGATTCCGATATTCCGACGCTCCGTTGTTGCCGGATGTTTTCGCGGTGTTGTGGTGCGTCTTGGCGCGGCCGATCCGACACGATTTCGACCCCGTACCGGTGCAGCCCGGTTCGATGCAGAGTTCCCGATTCGATGCTGATTGATCCTGCCCCTCCTCCATCAGGTTGTCAGGAGGAGGGCGCGGGCACGATTCGATGTTGACTGATCCTGCCCCTCATCCGGAACGTTCCGGAACGCTCGGAGAAGGCCGCGGCGCCCGTGACATGTTCCGTAGCCGCCAGATCTCAGAGATTCTCGAGTCATCCTTACCCGAATTGATCTTCGTCCTGGCCTCGTCCTGGGGAGGAGCGGGCGGAGAAACTGGGGTTTGTTGTATCTTTCTACATCCTCGGGGGGCTTCGGGGCCCGGGGCACTCTCGCTCAGCCGCGCCTCGGCGAGGGCAGTTTCCTGGGGTGCCAGGGTCAGGCGATCGCAAACGCGGATCAAGGGGGCGTTGGGTCAGCGACGGGCCCCGCTTCCAAGGGATATCGCAGACTTCCGCCGCCGAGCGATAAGGCATTGGCCGTATTTTTCAAGGCCTCCTAGATGGGGTCGGAGTAGATGAGGTCGGGGGATCGCGCCGCATCGCCCTTGCATCGCCGATGCGGCTCGATGTGGAGCCCGATTTGCTTCACGTCGACGTCGCCGATGCATCGCCGACGTCGGCGATGCACCGCTGGTGCATCGCCGATGCATCGCCGGACCGCACGCCAAATCCACAGATCGCTAGTCCATGCCTTCGCGCCCCCGACGGGGTGGTCCCAGAGGGCCGCTCGGCGGCCAAGGGTGTGCTCTCTGGAGGCCAGCGGGCGTCGACGCCGCCGGGGAAGCTGTGGTACGCATCGCCACGGGGGCAACGCAGGGCTCGTTTCGATTCCTCCGAGTCGATTCGATTCGATTTCGATTGCTTCCGATTCCGATTCGATTCGACTTGGGATTCCGATTTGGGTTCCGATTTCTCAACGGAGGCCTACTAGCCTGCCGATTTCCGCCGATTCGATGTTTCCCGACTCTGCTGCCGATTTCCGCCTATCCGATTCATTTCGATCGCCAATCTGATTTATCGACTCGATTCTGGGCTCTCCTGGGGCAACGGGTCCTGAGGGAAACGGATCCTGTTTTTTTTTTTTTGCGTTTTCGGGCTCCCGGGGCCCTCAACTCTAGGCCTCCCAGATGGGGTCGGAGCAGATGTGGTCGGAGGATCGTGCCGAATCGCCGATGCAGCGGCGATGCGGCTCGATGCGGGGCGCCATTTTCTCCACGCCGACGACGCCGATGCATCGCCGACGTCGCCAGTGCATCGCCGATGTATCGGCGATGCGGCGAGATCCTCCGACCCCATCTACTCGGACCCCATCTAGGAGGCCTCAGGAAACGAGTCCTGTGTTTTTTGTCGGTTTTCGGTGCCCTCCACGGGGCCCGACACTGTCAGAAAACGGCCCAGGGCGAACGAGTGGTCCTGGGGGAGGGCCCTAGGGTCTACGTAGGACCCGTTTCCCTCGGGACTCGTCTCATGCTAGTCGCAGCCAGCTCCAGCTCCAGCGGCAGGGCACCTCTCGGCACGATGCGGCGCGGTCCCTGGAGCCCGGTCACCTCCATGCCGCCATCGCCGATGCATCGGCGATGCAGCGCGATCTTTGACCCCCTTTCCTCTGGCCTCATGCCATCTAGGCCCCCCAGATGGGGTCGGAGCAGATGGGGTCGGAGGATCGGGCAGCATCGCCAATGCATCGGCGATGCGGCTCGATGTGGAGCCCGATCTTCCCCACGCCGACGACGCCGCAGCATCGCCGACACAGCCGATGTATCGACGATTCATCGCTGATGTATCGGCGATGCGGCGAGATCCTCCGACCCCATCTGCTCCGACCCCATTTGGGAGGCCTCCACTTGAGCGACGCAGAAGCGGGGTCGGCTGCGCGGACATCCGCGCGCAAGTGGACCGCGTGAGGTGGCGCGTGCGTGCCCTCGTTTCCAATGCAGCGTGCCGCGTTGGCGACCCGCGTCAGCCACAGCGTACGTAGGCTACAGAAGTGAGTGACAGAGGCATAAGATCAAGGTCGCTTCGGGGAGGGTACCCTATTGTTCTTCGGGTTCGTTCGAAGCTCTTGAGCATCCTTGGGAGGATACCCTTACATGTTCTGTGTGTTTTGGCCGGTGAAGGGTTTCATGTCCTTGGGGGATGTTCTTCTGGCCTAGGTCCGATTGTATGTCATCTTGCGTAAGAGCCGTTTCTTTTCGTCGCCCTGTTATGGCCCCATATGGCAGGCCTCCAGTGTTTGAGTTCGGGAACCGTTTCAAGTTGCCATGATCCAGGGCGAGCAACCGGCCCTCGGGAGAGGGTTCAGAGTTCGGGGCCCGTTTATTGAGCAGATATGAGGAAGCCAGTTGAGGCATCGGCTTCCCTTATCCTGCGCTTCTCCTCCCTCCTCCTCCTCGCCGATGTCTCAGCTGGTCTTTCGACGAAACGGTCCGCTGACCACACCCTGTGGTGAGTCGCGGGCGTGATTCGTCGCCTTGAGCCACAGGTCGAAGAACCACAAGTCCGTGATCTAGTCACTAGTCTGGATTTCTCGAGTCGGTTCTGCCCCTTCCCCGTTGGCGGCACCTCCAGCCCCGCCCCTGGCAGGGAGTCAGGGTGTCCAGCGGCGCCGACCACAGAAACCCGCGCAAATGCTAACCTTGTGTGTATGCCGTTTTTTGTGTTCTAAACTGAGTGCTCAGGCCCCCCCTGTGGCTCATGTGAGGGCCACATGGCTTCTCGGACCCTCGGGGCCTGCCTGGAAGGCTCCCCTGGGCAGGTCACGGGGCTCCACCAACGGCTGCATGGCTCGAGGACCATTGGGCCAGAACCCGCTGGGGGGCTGAGGTGGCCCAGCATTGGTTCCTCCTCCTCCTCTTCTTCCTCTCCCCCCTCCTCCTCCTCCTCCTCCTCCTCCTCCTCCTCCTCCTCCTCCTCCTCCTCCTCCTCCTCCTCCTCCTCCTCCTCCCTCCTCAGGAGCACTTGGTTGGAGCCGGTTGGGAGATTGAGGTGGCCCAGCATTGGCTCCAACAATGTCGCAGAAGCGGGAGACAAAGGGGCCCCCTCGTCGCCACGGCTGGACGCGGCTCGAAGAACGTGCCAGGTTCGATATGGAAGAGCTCCCAGGACCGAATTCTTTCACCAGATTTGGCCTCGTCCCCCCCTCTTGGCCGATTCTCTCTGGGCCCATCCAGCGCAGACCCCCTCGGCCGCTTCCAACCGCTTCGGCTTCGCGGAAAGTTCGGGATGGGCGAGCAGTTCTGGGGCCTTGGGCCGATCTCCGCGGGTGTCTCTCAAGTGCCGTGGGCCTTCAGGGTTGGACATACAGGTTCCACCGTCTACGCTGTGCTCCTCCGCCTCGTCCTCATCCGTCCGCCTGCCCCTTCTGCGCTCTCCTCATCCGTCGCTCGTATCCCTCCCCCGGCTCTGGGTTCGTCCTGGTCCCCTGATGTCGTTCCTTCCTTTGCCCCCTGCTGCTGCCGCTCTCCTTGGGACCACATGGCGGGGGGGCGCGCACAGGGCATATTTTCCAGCATCCCCTGCCCACGGCGTCGGTGACGCTGCGCGGGCGTGTTTTTTTCAGGGCTCGCTGGGCATTCGTTGCTCAGTCAGCTGTTTTGGTTTATACGCTGTTTCTGTTCCAGCTGGTGCAGCCTTGCAATGTCCAGCATGGCAGCCATCCCAGATCTCCATGCTCTGCCCCCCCCGCTGACATTTTTGGTTGACCATGGGCCATGCCCTCCCAGATCGCGAAACGCTGGCAGTGACAGATTCTCGCCATGCCTGCTTCCACCTCGGTTTCAAAATGATACCCCAAAATTGTTGAGCTGATGACGTCCAAGCTGCCCTCCAGTCGAAATATCCGAGACCCCGATATTCGATTCTGAATATAGTTCTGTTTGACCCAACCCTCCGAGGTCCAGAATGGTCGGGGTGCATCACGATTCTCGCCACTCCAGCCTTGCAGATGCCAAGGTTATTCTCCAACCTTCTTCTTGGCTGGTGCATCCCTCCCAGGTCCACAGACGCTTGCAGAGCAGTAGAATTTCCTACATTTCTAGCCTTGCAGGGTCTAGAACGATACGAAATTCGACCGACATGCAGTCATAACGCACGCAAGCAAGACACTGGTTGGACAGATTTGAGGGAGTTCGACTGCCACTAGGGTGCGAACGATTGGAATGCCAACATGTATGATACCGTCAGTGAGTCAATATGCAATCAAATTGACACGTGGCACCATCCGGACACAACCAAATCACCTGACAGTTCGCCATTCGGTCGCCCGCCAAGCCTATTTCAAGGGGAAGGCATGTATGTATGAGGGCCCAGAGCGGCGCCAGACGCATGGTTGAATTGGTAGACCTGACACCGAAGCACCATTCTGAAACCACACATTACAATCCAATCATCCTCACCCACCCGCCGAACTTGCCACTGTAGCATCGCCCATTGTCACCCAGACATCCTCACCAACCGCCTAAAAGTGCTGTCCAGACGTCTCATCCCACTATCCCAAAGATGTAACTCAAATGCGCAGCTTCACACACCTGTCCGACACAGCAATCACATCACCCACCTGGATGAAAGTAGCACCGACGCATACCCCTTAATTTGCTAGAGTTGCCATCCGCATGTCGCCCACCCGCCCACGATTGCCAGTGAAATATCCTCACTCACGCACTCAACGCTGCCACCATCGTATGTCTTCACATGCCCGCCTCAAGTTTACACCCACATGTCCTCGAACACCCGCCTCAAACTGTCATCCAACTATCTTCACCCGCCCGCTTCAAGCTGCGACCCAAACTATTTATCCACCCGCTTCATATGGCAGCCCAACAGTATCATGACTCCCTCGCGTCGGGCTGCCATCTAACGGCCTTGGCGAGTTCAGTCAGCCAGCTAGTTGATCCTTCTCTTCCCGACACGATCGATCACGGGTTGCGCCCGTCAAACATGTTTATTGTGTCGAAGCGTTTTGTCTTGATCAGTTTAGGTTCGATTGAATGTCATCTGTGTGCGAAGTAAGTAAGGACAGGTTGTTTGCAGTTCGATATCTCGGACATGTAATTTCTTTGAGACGCTCCTGATTTCGCCGTCAGCGCCAACATCAACACTACACCAGCAGCATTGTCTTCTGTAGCCCATGTGGCTCTGAGACCCCAGTTGCTCGCGGGCAATATGGTCTTCCTCATTCGTTAGACCGAACCTCACACAGACACGTTTTGTCGTCCCATATTGGTAGGCAGTATCGAGAGTCATGATTTCGGTGGTGCTTCTCGTTGGGTTTTCCATCTTGAGTTGGTGTGGAGCTTTACTGGTTAATGTCTCTTCGGCTCCTAAGGAGTCCCACGTTGAACGCCCTGCGCTTCTATGCATAGACGTCCAGTCGCCATTTTCAGAGTTCACCTATCGAAACGTGATGCCTGCGATAGAAGATGTGATCCACAGTTTTCAGATATCCGGGTGGCCGATATATTGGAAGTATTGGTATTTCGCTGGGTGCGGCACTGCCCAAGGGCGATTCTTCGGCAAATACGAGTTTCACAACGAATGCAAAAGTATGCAGATGACTTCGAATTACAGGATGGAGGGGAACAGTGCCATCCATCCGAACAACACGAATGACTATCCAAGAGGTTGCCGACATTCCGCCGACCGCCGAACAACCAGATTTCGAGGATAAATATGGGAGTGCACAAGCTTCGAACGGCCTTGTGTTGTCGACGACGTTGGAAATGGTCACGCGTGTGTCTCAATCAGCACGCTTCTTGGGCCATGTGCGTGCGCTGTTTGGAGATGGCCTCGATGCGCCTGTTCCGAACACAGGGGAACAATTCTGGAGCTTTGTTCGGCCATGTTGGATCTCTCTTCACTCTCTCTCTCTCTCTCTCTCTCCCTCTCTGACTGTTGGTGTTCAGACCCTTCCTGGCTTTGTCTTCGGGCCATCTCGAAGTAATGCAAGGATGTGTGTTCTTCTTGTTGGGTCTTCTAGGGGCTAGCCGTGGCCCTGTTGGGCTACCCTTGGTTCCTGTTTGATTTGCGTGAAGTTCTCTCGAGCCACCCTGGGCCCATCTTAAGACATCTAAGGCCAATCTGAACGAACAAGGGCGAGAACGCTAAAACCAGGGACATCGTGGAGTCTCATAGGGGTAGCTTGAGGCTGGCATGGGGGCAATCTTGGGCTGTCTTGGAGACCATCTTGGGCTATCATCTTGAGGCTACACGTTGGAGCCATACTGGTCAATGTTGGTAACCCTGTGAAATCATATGATGCAGCCCTGGAACGGGGAACACGGGGAGGAGAACAGTCACAAATCTCACACGCTGCTTCATTCTTGGCACACGGGGGTCAGCAGCTTTACGATCGTATTTGACGTCCGAGTTTACTGCTTTTCATCCGGATCTGATCCGTGAGCTTAGGCACGAGCAAATTACGAAAGTGTATCTCGTTGGAGGTTGGTGGGAGCATTGTATCACAGCTACCGCCTTGCACGCGAGATCTTTGGGGTTCGATGTTGTGATTGTGGATTCTGCTGTTGGCGGTTCTTCGGAGCTGAATCCGACGGCGAAGCATTTCTTGGGAAATCTCAGCTTCAAGTTCGAAGACGTCCCTCAGCTTCCTTCGTACAGGCAACCTTTGGGCAAGACGCCTTTGAGTTTCACAGACCTTGCAGAGTCGTCTCACGATGAGCTCGTAATTTCCAGTTTCGAGCTCGCAAATTCGAAGTCGGAACTTGGGAATTGGATTGACGGATGGTTTATTGCACATTGGGATTTGAGTTCGTTCGGTGCCAAGGTTGCTGGGGATCTCGTACGGTTTCCATACAAACGCAAGATACAGACTATGACACTTGTCATTTTCGACGCCTGCAACAGCATAGGCAATCCAGAGCACAGTAGTTCAGATTTGCTCGACCTGTTCGTTCACAAAGGGTCATCCGTCTACCTCGCTGACACGGAGACCTGCACCATGCTTACTACCTTGAAGGCGTCTGTTGGAGTTGACGTGATTCAAGAGCTGACGTCCAGTGATACCCTCCGTGTGTTGCAACGGCGGATTTCGAATAATGTAGATAAGCAGTGGAACACAGTTGTGTTGGCTGGGAATCTCGCAGATGACTCCATGATAGCATTATCGTATTGGCTTTTTGATCGTGATTATGATGTCTTCTTCGTCCACGATGCAACATATTGGAGGGGGGCTGATTCCGTCTACTCATCGGCGCAGAAAACTCAAATTATGCAGGTCGTTTGCCATGCTGTGGCGGCAGTCGGTCTAACATCTGATTTGTTGAGTTTGGAGGACACACCCCTCCCGCAATCAGTAAGCTATCGAAGACGCGTGCGGCGAATCACCGTTGCCCCCCCTGCTTTTTGGAAACGCCCATGCGGCCAAGCGTTGGGCCGACGTCTGGCCAAGCCATTGGAGCATGTATTCTCCCAGCCGCTGTGGAATTCTTTGGGGATGCACTTGGAAGAGGAAGAGAAAAGAGGAGGATAGGAGTGAGGAGGAGGAGGAGGAAGAAGAGACGGCCTCTTGAGGCCCTCTTTGGGGCCCTCCAAGGGTGTTGAAATACCCTCTTTGCATCTGCACATGTATGATTATAATTGCTTCGTTGCACCGTGCATGTTCGTAATCAGACTCTTCCGGCACAAAACACTTCATGGTAGCATAGGGTGGTGTTGCCCTCGCATGCCCAAGGAAAACGCAAGCGCAAGAGGGGTCCTCGATCTGCCGATCGAGTTCGCGAACGAATCCTGCGAGGTCAACGCCGCCGCAAGGCTGGAGAGCGGGCAGCCCCGCCCCAGCCTGCGGCCACTGCTGGCGGGCAACAGCGCCGACAACACACCAGGGAGCGGGTGGCCCCGCCCTTGACGGAGGCCCCGCCTCGAGCGGGGAGGGCGTTGCGAGGAGCAGCCAATGCGCAAGCGCGCGTGACGCGAGCGCGGGTGACGCGAGCAGCCAATGCGCAAGCGCGAGCGTGAGGAGGGCAGACGCCGAGAGGCGTGACCCGACTCCTTCGCGCCAGGCCCGGTGGGCGGCTGGACGTCGCATTGCACGAAGCCGAAGTGGTGCGGGCAACCCCGCAAGCGCGAGCAGGCGCAGCCGTCGGACGAACACAGCGTCCAGAAGGTCAAGAGAGAGGGCTTGAGCCAGGAACGAGAGCAGGATGGCCGAAGCAGCGCTACAGGCAGTGCAAGCGCAGTTTCAGGAAGTCACGCAGCAGTTTCGGTTGCTCCGAACAGAGAGCCGGCAACTCCAGACCACAGCGATGCAACAGCAGACCTTGGCCGGAACCTTTTCAAGGTCAGGCCGCGGCGGGAGCAGCAGCAGCAGCAGCATCAGCAGCAGCTGCAGCCACTGCGCCCGGCACCACTGGTCACCACTGAGGTGCTGCAGCAGCTTGAGTCTGTGCTCACAGAGCAGACGAAGTCCCTCGCATGGCGGGAAAGGCCGCAGCTGGGGGACCAGAAGGTCATCGGGAAGCCACTGACTTTCACAGGGGATGAATTCAGGCTCCCAGAGTGGACACGCAAGACAAAAGACTATTTCTGCGGGGTGGGGCCAGTGCTGGACCGCGCGTTGGAGGTCTCAATCAGCAGTTCAAGGCCGTCTTTGCCAGCGCCGCAGAAGGTGAGACATGAACGATCGTGCAAAGCTGCTCTGGGTGCGGCTTGGAAACCTGGCGGCTGCTGCACTGGCGATTCGACTCGGTCAGCGGCGGGAGGCGCCTGACACTGTCGAGGGCGATCATGTCACCCAGCAAGGTGAAGATCGAAGACCTGGGGACAGCACTTCAGACGTGGGAAGCGATGGTGACCAGCTACAGGAAGTTGGCGCAGAAACTCGGCAAGGCGCAGATTGCAGACGACTTTCTCGATTCGGTTTTGGAGGCCATGGCGCCCGAGGAGCTCGACGAGCACCTGCAGCTCGACGCGCCCAGGCTGCAGAAGTTCACCGACGCGCGCGCCGAGGTTGCGCAGCGCTACGAGAGCAGGTCCAGGAAACAGGTCCAGATCAGCTCGCCAGGTCGCGTGCCGACTGCCAGCCCGAATTCCGGGGCCGCGCCCGTGGAAAACGACGCTCTTGCATGGGGGGGCCCGGGCGACTCCAAGGGAAGCAAAGGCATGGGCAAAGGCAAGGGGGCGGACGGCGCGGGCATGGCCCAAGGGGGCAAGGGCGACAAACCCGGACCTGGTCCGTTCGAAAGGCATCGCAGTAGTTGGCGGCGTGGCAGGCGGCGTCGCAGGGCAGAGGATTGCCGGGTGAAGAAGCCAGCCCCGAAGGCGCCGGCGAAGCCGACGACCAAGTGCAAGGCGACGGGCAAGTGCGAGCGCGCTGGCCCCGCGGGCGCAGAGCACGAGGAAGACGGCGAGCCGGAGGGCGAGCGGGGCTCGCTGGACACGGGGGCGTTGGACAACGAGCCCTTGGCCAGCCGCTGCGCTGACGGCCACCTCAAGTTCCGCTTGGACACCAGCGCCGCGGCGCGGTGACAGCGCGCCCGCGGGAAAGCTTTGCAGGCCACGCTGCCAAGAATGAGAGCAGCAACCGCAGGGGTCGTTGACGGCGAGCGGGGAGAGGGTCCCCGACCACGGCGGCGCGGAGCTGCGGTGCGCCGACGAGAACTCGACGGTGCGGAACATCGCGGGTAGGCTCGCAGATGCGCGCGTGGTCTGGCCCCCGTTTCCCAGGCGGCTCGGGCAGGGCAGCTGCCCGCGCTGGAAGAAGGCGGGTGGCGCGTCACCTCTCGCAACGGCATCGTCGGCAGGGCGTTCGCGCGGGAGCTCAACAGGCTGGCGCGGGAGCGCGGCCACGAGGCGCCCCTGCCAGCGCGCGAGGAGAAAGGCGCGCACAACTTGCACATGCGCGCAGATGACCAGACAGAGGTCGCCAGGCGCGAGGGCCCAGGCAGGCGGGCGCCCCCGCGGCCGGGGTTCGGGCGGTTGGATTTGCATATGCAAGTCCGCTGGGGCAGCCCCGCGCTGGCCGAGGCGCTGGCCGCAGAGGCGGGCGGGGCGCCGAGCGCGCCGGGCGACGAGGTGGCGGGCGAGCAGCAGGGGCAGCGCCATAGGTCATCGGCGCGCCCGCCGACGCGGCCGCTACTCGATGGGGCGCGCGCTGTTTCGTTCTCGGCGTCGGCAACGCCAGGCAGCACGAGGCATTGGAGAGCGGCGCTGGGCCCAGGAGGAGCACGAAGGCGCAGATCCCATCATTTCTTCAGACTGCGCGCGCATGAATGATGACGGGGGCGAGGTCGCCACAATGTCTATTCTTGCCCTGGGCGGCGGATCGACGAAACAGCACATGGCGACTGCAATTCCGAGCAAAGCAGTCGAACCCTGCACAGTCAGATTATTTGCTGGCCGCGTCAAGGAATTTTGATAGAGACGGCGCGTATCCGAATCAGGCACCGAGGCAGGCCTGGCGGCGCTGAAGGCCGCCGCCGGCGATGCGTCGCCTCGAGTGGAGATGGCGCCGCAGGAGAGCCCTGCAGGCAACCGCCAGGCCAGCGAAAGGCCGAAGCAGTTGTCTGGGGTGCGAAGCGGACGACGGAGTCCTCGAAGGAGGCGCTAGAGGAGAGAGGCTTCAAAAGCGCCTGCTTCGGACGCGCGACGTTCAGTCTCGGCCCCCCAGGCTCTCTGCTGCCCGCCCGTCGCGGCGCGCGGCGGGCGACGACGGCCGGGCGGCCGGGCGGGGGGGGGCCAGGAAGCGCTGGAAAAAGGCCCTGATTGAGTTCGGGGAGCGCATCGACGCCCAGATGGCGCAGGAAGAGCCGCGGTCTGGCATTGTTCGCGGTCGAGGGCATCTACGTCGGGCGCCGCGCGCGGGCCGGCATTTTGACGGCGACGACGGCAGCTGGGGTGGCGCGAGCCAGGATCTTCGCGACGGTCGAGGAGCGCTGGAAGGCGGACTTCTTCGACGACCTCAAGGGCTAGCCTCGGGGCGCGGTGCCAGGCGCGATGGGCTCCGCACCGGCCGCGGCCGCCGCCGCGGGAAGCCCCGCAGCGGCGGCGCCGCCGCCGCCGTTTCCGCGGCCGGTGGCGCGGCGCGCTGCGGGTGCATAAGGCCCTGGAGGAGGCGCGCCGGGGCCTCGGAAGTTGTGCATCCTGAAGCGGGGCGCGCGTACGTGCGGATCCACGCCGCACTGCGCGGCATGCGGGCGCGTTGTGATAGGCGCGTCGGCCAGGGTCGCGCATGCTAAAGGATTGGAGGGTGAAAGTGGGGGTCGGGCGCAGGGCCCCAGCAATGGCGTCTTTGTGGGCCATGCGCGGGCGATGCGTCCTCGGCGGCCGTGCTCGGCAAGAGGGCCGCTCGAAGCTCCCCGCCTGCACCCGCGCGCGATGCTCGAAGGCCAACGAAGCAAAGGGGCGGGGGGCAGCGAGGCGAGCAGCAAAGTCTGTCCAGCCACTCCTGACACGCAGAACGCTGTGCTTCAGTTTCGGGGATCTTGAAGACAGGGGCAAAATGTGAACTCACATGTTGGGGAAAAGCGACATGTGCATTCACATCTTTGGGGAACAATGTGAACTCACATGTTGAAATGTGGTGCGCGAATCTCGATGGAGGGACCAGAATGTGAATTCACATGTTGGGAAAGAAAGAATATACATATATATATATACATATATATATAGTCACACGCTGGAAAAAAGGAACATATGACTTCACATTGGGAGAATCGTGGGGCCCAATCAAAATCTGTCTCGCGAGTCGACATGTCGCCATTCGGGAGCACACGCGATCGTCGATCGCACGATCAAGACGCATTTGCACTCCACTTCGCCGCCCCACGCGCAATGTGCAAGAACGCCCGCGAGCATGAACGATAACGGATGGATGGCGCGCGCGCCCGCGCGGGCAACGCGCGGGCACGGGCGGCCGGCCTTCATGACCGCCGACATGTGACGCCAATCGCACCCGATCACATACATGAGCGATACATTGAGCATACATGGGCCATTCAGTCCCCATTGAAGACCCCCCGCTGCAGACCCCCTCATTCACCCTCCAGAAGAAGTGCGCAGGGAGGATGGCCGAGGAGATCTGCGCAGACCCGTTGCAGAGGCACCGCGCGGAGGCGCAGGTAGTTCGGCGGGGGCCAGGCGCGGGCGAGGCGGCAGTGCCCGCGGGTGGCCTCGCAGCAGAAATTCTTCATAGTCATTCGTCCTCCCCCCAATCCCCTCCTCACCAACCCAATCGCCTTCATCGTCGCGAAGGGCATCGCGGGGGGGACGAAGCAGGAGGGGCAGCAGGAGGAGGAGGAGGAACAGCAGGGGGATAACATTGGGGAGGAGACGGACCGCTGGGGGCAACAGGAAAATCCGGGCCATCATCGCACGGGGGCAGCCATTCGGCGGGTAGCCTAGCAGCCGTCGCGTCGCGGCCAGGGCGCGCCGGGGCGTCTCGACAGCTTCCCGCGAGTTCAGAGGAATGACCTTCAGCTAAGAGACGCATGAAGGGCCCCGATCTGAGCTCAAGCGCAAGCCAGTGAACGCACC